ACTCTTGTGACATGCTTGTGAAATAAGCATTGGGTCTTTTCTGCCACCTGAAGATGGTATCGGGCACAGAGCATGCACCCCGTAGCTCAGACGATGATTCTTTCTATTATTAAGTACAAAATCCATACAAGGTATTCTTTCAATGGAGGAAGTAAACGGTCACCTTAGTATTGTCTGGCTGCTAAAGAAGAGGCAGGAGATGTCCTATAGGAGTTCATACGCCTGGCGCCGCCCACCTGCTAACCAGACGTTCCACGTTTACAACTGAATATCTTCAGTCTTTCAACAAATAGGCACGTAGTTACACCGTAGGCTTATATATATATTTTTTTTATTGAGGTTATGCTATGTTATCACAATCGACGTCACTGCACATTGGGCATTCCCATGTGTGCTCAGTCCTCCGATGCAACAGCCACTTCAAAGTACTTCTACTAAATGTTCCCATAAGAAGCTAATTATATTGTCTCCTGTCTCGGCGTCGAAGATGGCATAGACGTGCTTCACCATGCTTTACTCTTATGTCACACAATCGTGTTAGTGTCAGGAATTCCTTATTATCCATTAGCCCAGTCCGTCCAGCGTTGACGATATTTGCTATGTATATGGCTGCTTTCCCCGCAATCCTTAGTGCAGTGCTTGCCAGCTGGTCTGCTCGTTCATTTTCATTTACGCCTGCATGACCTGGTGTGTAGATCTAGGTGAGGAAGGTTAAGAGCGATTTTCGAATGCTTTCTACCCATTCAGAGCGCATACCACCTGTTGCTATCTTCTGAAGCATATTCATGGAGTCTGATACAATTACTTTGATCGAGGTTGTCTCCTCTAGATCCCTTGTGTTTTGTGCCTCCTCGGTCATGCACAATGGTCTTGACTTTAGAAAGGCTTTTCTGATCAAGTACAGGTGCACACATCTCACACTAGCTGTAAACCACAACACAACATACCTACCAACCCTTTTCTGGGCCAACGCAGGAAAAGCTCAAGACTTGCTGCTTAGAGCAGCTAAAGAAAACAAAAACACGAAACAAGTTAGTTAGTTAGTTAGTTAGTTGGGTTATCATCATTGCACTCCGGACATGTCCATAGGTGCTCAGATCCTCCCCTCAGTATGAACTCCAAAGTCCGATGGCTAATAGTATTAGTTCTATGTTGATTAAAAAGACTTTTGGTGTGCGTCTCGTTTTTTGCTATGCCGATCTTAATTCCCAAGTCTGCCATTCTGGTGAGTGATGTGGATTCACTGCCTCCAAATTCCTCTATCCTTCCCATTTCTCTGAGGGCATTAATAATATCAGCATGATCCATAGGCTGATCGTCGGTAGTGTAGTGATAGCGGATCCAGCCAATCTATCAGCTCTTTCATTTCATTCGACGCCTGCGTGTCCTGGAACAAAAATAAAGGTAACTCCACGTACAGTTGACGACTTCTGTAATGATTCAAGCCATTGTCTTCGCACCGAACCTGCATGAACCCTCCGGATTATACTAATTGAATCGTTGAGTATACATACGCGGGTGTAGTTGTGTGTTTCGAGCCACACGAACGCTGGCGTCACTGCCATCATCTCCATCATCATGCTGCTGGTTGTCATGAAGAAAGCGCCGTTGGCTTCTTTGACTGTTCTGCCGCTGAGTGTGTTGTGAACGCCCATGCGCTTCTTTTCTTTTTTTTTTTTTGGCGTATAGCGGATCCGTCCGTCTGTGTAGAAAACGCGAAACAAATTTCGTCTGAAACTACGACTTCCGGTTCTATTGAGAAAGCGTGATACAACATGGCGAACACAACGGCGGCTTTGACTGTTGGAGGAAACAGAACCACTGGACAGTCTGTTCGAACTCAAAATGGTGTGTTAAATGTTTAATATATGTATCTGCTTTAATCTGTCACGAAGCGACGTTTTGTTGAATTTCAAATGTTCCTTTGAGTAAACGCGTAGTTTCACTGTTTCGGCACCAGCGCACACTTAAAAAGCCGGGCGGAAGGTTCCAGAACAGAACGACGAGGGTCGGAGAGCAATGGCATGTGAAGATGTCTCGTTTTAAGTCTCCTCATAAAAAAATGTTCCAAATAGTTTTTACTGTTGGAATGTACAGTTAGATAGACATTGAAATATTTAACCGAATCATACCTCATTTAAATGTCTTAAAGTCTACGCCCACTCTAGTGCCAGTGCTGTCTCCATTGTTGAAAGTTGAGTCTATTTGACTTGGGGCAGGGGTATTCAGAACTCAGTTTTTCCAGTGAGACCAGTGTCAACTGTCATTGTGGATCTCCACCAATCTCTAAACAGCTCTCTATGGTTGTACACTGTTAAGTTTTGCGGGTATATTCATACTTGAATTAATGTCTGCCCATTACTCACATAACTTCAACCCTATACTCCCTCAATAGTTTTTAGTTTAAACGTCAAATATTTCAGATGTTATAATAATTCACCTTTAATGATGTGATTGTAAACATTGATTGTTCCTAAATATTATTTGGGAACAATGTACACTAAAGGCGTTTAATTGATTGAAGAAATTAACATGGAATATTTAACTGATACTGATATTGTTTACAAAGCCAACCAAGTATTGGGGCAGCTATCCATTCCCCTTCCCTATTTTCATCTTCCCCTTCAACCAAAATAAGGCAATCCCAGTCAGCACAAAGAAGCATCTCATACAAAATCCCATCTTATGGGGACAAAATAAGACAATCCCAGTCAGCACAAAGAAGCATCTCATACAAAATCCCATCTTATGGGGACAAAATAAGACAATCCCAGTCAGCACAAAGAAGCATCTCATACAAAATCCCATCTTATGGGGACAAAATAAGACAATCCCAGTCAGCACAAAGAAGCATCTCATACAAAAACCCATCTTATGGGGACAAAAATAAAACGACCAACCGCCTCGGTGACAAGAGTCTCCTAAAGGGTGAACTAATTTAGCATGTTTTCTTTAAAGATGGAATGTATCTGCTACTGCCTGAGAGATAGTGCACAACTAAAGTTTTTGGAATGTGACAGTGCAGAAATGAATTAACAACAAAATCTTTCTGCCAGTGTTTACAGCTGGTAAACACTAAAAAAGAGGATGAAAGACTACACGAAATAGTCATTAGAGAAAATGTTGGCATAGAACTGATGTTAAAGTACATACAAAGACAGCAAATAAATTGGTAACAACTTGGTAGATTAGAGAGAGTGCTTAACTCTTTGAGTCGCAGGGGGTTTAGCATCACAGGCCCAGAGGGTAGTAAATAGAGTTGGAAAATCGGTGCATCATGCGTTCATTCGGTTTCTAGGTAGGAACCTATGAACGTATGATGCGTTCCTTGGGACCCAATGAGTTAATGACATCTAACTATTGAAGGCATACACCAGAAGAGGAGAGGGATGCAGAGACTGAGATAGACCATGAGCAAAATGGAATGATAACATTAGAGGAACTCTACAACAGTACAGTGTTTGTATGGTTGAGGTGGCCAGAGAGCCAGCACCTTGTTGTATCTCCCTGGACACAGAAACAATAGAAAAGGCAATGAAGAAGTTGGCTTTAATAATATAATAGTTGATCTTCTTCTCACTCATCATAGGCTGGGGATAAGTTTAGTAGCAAAAGTCTCTGGTCCCAGACTTTTAAGAGCTTTTGCCTACTCAGTGAGGAGCAGCTGGCCGAGGGGTTAGAATGCAGGTGACCTGGGTTCAAATCCTCGATAAGTTTAGGGATTTTTTAAAATTGGGAGCAAAATAAAATTCTCACCTGCACAGTCGGTGGCAACAGCACTAGCCATGCGGCCTTAAATCATCAGGCTCAGAGACCTGCCCTGCCTACACCACAAAGGTGGTATAATAAAGGCAGTTTTTTTTGCCTTCTTAAAATATTAGATGTCTTGTATGCAAGGACAAATTTTGTGTGGGTGCTCAGTGAGACAGCATCTGGACCTACAGGATCAATTTCATCCATTTGGACAATGTGCATTACTTCTTTTGTCCTGGCCATGACGTGAAGTGTCGCCCTTCAAGTGGCAAACTGAACTTGCACTGTCATTCAGTATCTTCGTCTGAGGGACATTTGAATCTTTTTTGTTGTTTAGTAGGATCTTCACACACATGGACGTTTTACCCCTTTTGTAATTGAGTAGGATTCTGTCTTCATGCATTTGAACCTAGATTAGAGACTTACTGGGAATCAGGCACTGTGAACATTTGTACTTATGTTTTAATGATGCCATCCTTGAAGTGGGTGGGCTGATGAATGCTGTAGGTTTTCTGCATCTGGACACGGCAACTCCGGAGGCACTCCCAGACCAGCCCAGTTTAGGCAGATGTTGGGCATTGTCCAGGGTGGACAACGGGGATGTTGTTGCAAGCGTTTTGCGTGAGATTCCTCAAAGACCAACACAACACAGGACTTGCTGGTGCTTAAGATGTGGTATAGGGTATCACCTTAGACACAGAAGAACATCCCTAATTTTTCCCTCATCCCTTTGACTGAAATCACCTCACCACTTAAGGTCAGATCAGTTCATTATGTTTTATCAAAGGAAAAATTTAATAAAGCACAGAATTACATATTTACAAAGTTTTGCAGAAAACAAATTCACGTTAATTTATTTGGCTATGATGATGCACCAGTGTTTTGATCTTTCAAGGCTGGAGATAAGACATCGGCAGTTACAGAGCTTGAAGTGCAACAGTTCTTAGCAAAAACAGACTTGGCCTCTCAAAGAGAAGAAATCTGGCTCACATGAGAAACTCAGCTGAATGAAAGTCTTGGGGGGGGGGGGGGGGACGCATTTGTAAAGGCTTGCTTGAAAATTCACATCTGTGCAGTGGATTCTTCATTTTAATTAAAACAGGCAGACCACTAGCTTAAAAAAAGGAGGAACCTAGAACATATATCAGATTAGCACTGAACCTCACATAATAGTTGTGAGTGGCATGTGGTTTTTCTTGTGCCTGAATTGTTTGTTTTAAAATGGCACCATATTTTTTCTTCTCCAGTTCTGGCAGTGGCATCCATTGCTAATATCTTGAAGAGCAGCCTTGGACCAGTTGGCTTAGACAAGATGTTGGTTGATGAAATAGGGGTTCGTATCTCTTGTCTTTTTTAAATTAAGTGCTGTAACATAGTACCTACTTTATATTAATGTCCATGCAGATGGTCTAGTATTACTATCCTTACATGTCAGTTATATTACTGTCCAGACAGATGGGTATGTTACTAGTGAACATGGGTAACATTACTGTCCATACAGCTGGGTTACATTACTGTCCATACAGCTGGGTTACATTACTGTCCATACAGCTGGGTTACATTACTGTCCAGACAGCTGGGTTTCATTACTGTCCAGACAGCTGCGTTTCATTACTGTCCATACAGCTGGGTTTCATTACTGTCCAGACAGCTGGGTAACATTACTGTCCATACAGCTGGGTTTCATTACTGTCCAGACAGCTGGGTAACATTACTGTCCATACAGCTGGGTAACATTACTGTCCATACAGCTGGGTTACATTACTGTCCATACAGCTGGGTTACATTACTGTCCATACAGCTGGGTTACATTACTGTCCATACAGCTGGGTTACATTACTGTCCATACAGCTGCGTTTCATTACTGTCCATACAGCTGGGTTTCATTACTGTCCATACAGCTGGGTTTCATTACTGTCCATACAGCTGGGTTACATTACTGTCCATACAGCTGGGTTACATCACTGTCCATACAACTGGGTTACATTACTGTCCATACAACTGGGTTACATCACTGTCCATACAACTGGGTTACATTACTGTCCATACAGCTGGGTTACATTATGGTCCATACAGCTGGGTTACATTACTGTCCATACAGCTGGGTTACATCACTGTCCATACAACTGGGTTACATCACTGTCCATACAACTGGGTTACATTACTGTCCATACAGCTGGGTTACATTATGGTCCATACAGCTGGGTTACATTATGGTCCATACAGCTGGGTTACATTATGGTCCATACAGCTGGGTTACGTTACTGTCCATACAGCTGGGTTACATTATGGTCCATACAGCTAGATAACATTACTGTCCAGGCCAGCTTATATTAGTGTGTTAAGCTGATGAGATCATGAAGACAGTACAGGATGTTGTGTGAGTTTTTGTCTAATTCTCTGTTTTTTTTTTTGTTCTTCTTAGCGTTCACCATATGTAAACTCTGGCAGAAAGTTCTGGTTGACCGCCCACTTTAGAACCTTGGTGTTATTCCAGAACACAAGTTTTGGGCGCATATCCGTTTGACATATCTAGCTTATTTATATGCAGACTGTTGGTTCCTCACTTCTTATGCAGCCCCATTTTGACTTCAAAGGAAACAACACTAATTAATCCTCACCTTTGGAGGTTTTTTTTTATTATCTCACAAATAGCCCCCTGGGACCTATATGGGAACCTAGTTATTTCAAGTGTTTTTCTTTCCCTTAGCTCCCTCTATTTCTCTGGTGTCTCACTATCTTTCCTGTGTGTATAAAAGACAAAGACCATGTGCAGTTTAAAGAGCATCAGCAATCAGTAGCCTCTCTGTCTGTCTGCAGGATGTGACAATCACCAACGATGGTGCAACGATTCTCAAACTGCTGGAGGTGGAGCACCCCGCAGCTAAGATCCTTGTGGAGCTGGCAGAGTTACAAGACCAGGAGGTTGGAGATGGCACCACTAGTGTGGTAGGTGCTCTCTCTCTCTCTCTCTCTCTGTGTCTTTGTTTGTTTGTTTTTATAGTATGATTCTTGATGTTCTTTTATTTCTAATGATAGTACTATCATCATTAAACTGATCTTTTGCAAAATTTACACATACAAAAAGGGGGGGGGGGGGGTAAATCCTTAGTGAAGTTGTCAAGCTGCTTGCTTCGTGCACCGAAGGTCTTGGGTTTGTTTCACAGACATATCCTGCTTTCAGTTCACAGTGCACATTTTACAGAAATTCCTGGTGGTTATTGCTGGAGCTTTGGAGTTCGTGCTTTGTATGATGCTTTTGGTGGACAGCTAGCAATTCTGCAGAGAGAAAACAGGCTATTTGGAATAACACCTGGCACAATGAAGTTAATCTCCACTTTACTATTAAGTCATTTGCAGAATTATACCTGCCACAAAGTCTCTAGCCAGCACTCCAGTGGCAGATATTTTATGCCCATAAAGTTCAGTATATGTCATTACCTTGTTCAGTCCTTCCTTACTTGAAGTTGCTTTATTCATAGATTTTAAGTAGTTGTGAATTTCTTGGATTCGTTACACTGCGGAAACAAAGTAATTTATTTATTTTCTCTTTTCTTTTGGGGTTCCAGTGAAGGAATTTTATAGTTATTCTATTGTCATAGTGTCTTATGTATGTTATATCCATGGCCAAACCTTGATCCTGACCCCTTCTTGTGGAGCTGGCATATTTCCAAGACCAGAAGGTGGCAGATAGCACCAGCAGAATGCCGGATGCTCTCTAAATCTTTTTTGGTGTGTTTAGTCTTATTGTTTATGTTATCGTAAAAGCCACTTGAGTGATAGAATCTGTAAGTCTCTTTAAAACCACCATATCTGTCTCATAGGTGCCAAATCCACCCAGGTGATTTAACATCCAACACATTTTATTTGAAGTCTTAGAGTTGCAGGCCTTGTTTCCTGTGAATTTCTGGCCCCCACACATCACATTTTCTTCTGGCCAGAGAGAGATGGGATTTCTTTTGAGATACGTCAGTTAACTCATTTGTGTGTGTTCTTGTTTGTACTTTTGATATTACTGATTTATCTAGTGTATGATGAAGGCCTCTGTAAGTGGTTGACTGTTTTCATGTGATCATGGTGACTTGTTTGAATCTTCTGCAGGTGATCATTGCAGCCGAGTTGCTGAAGAATGCAGATGAGCTGGTGAAGTGCAAGATCCATCCAACATCCATCATCAGTGGATACAGACTTGCCTGCAAGTAAGTTCCTGTAGAATCCACAGTACAGTGGTGCACATCTCTCGTACACATTCTGTTCTACAAGATGTACACAATCTCTCTTTTTTTAAATAAAATTTGTGGTACACTTGCTCTTTGAATTAATGGTACTGTTGTACACACCTGTTCTTTGTATAAAATTGATAGAAGAGTTGTAGCATTTTGTCCATTGTACAGGTTCCATTTATTAATTTGTTGTACTCAAATCTACAGTGGTCTGCACAGTCCAGAGAATTCATGCAAAATACACAGTAGTCATGCAAAGTCATAGTTGTACACAATACCCAGTTGTCATGCACACAAAACAGTTGTTCACAATCCACCATTTCTTGTACAAAAAAAACTTGAATCATTGTTATAAATGCAGTTTACACAGCAAACTGCAGTGACAGGTCCCTGAGAAGCATAGTTAATGGTGTTGGTTTGTGTGTGCTCCTGCACACGTGTTTAAGGGACCTGGATATGAATATATTTACTAAAAATAGCCGAGTAGAGTTTTCTTGTGAACAGAGGGGCTTATAAAAACCATTTTGACATAATAATTTGCCACTAGCTTTAGTGGTAGAATTCCAGCAGGGTCACGGTGTGAGCCAACCGATTCATTGTTTGGGCTCAAGGAAATATTCCATATACTGCTTGACTCCATTTATATTAATTGATTACACATTAAATATTTCAAAAAAAAGTGTTCACATGGGGCTCATAATCAATTATTAGGTCCTTTACTAAACACTGCTGTCTTCATGGCATGCCTGAAAGTCTCTCTTTCTCTCTAGCCAGTTCTCAGGCCCTGTGGGCTTTCATTGCCGATGCATCTTCAGTGTCTTAAATCCACTGTTGCATTTCTGGCTCATGTTCTAGTGACTGGATCCTCCTGGACTATTGTGTCTAGGCCACCTTGCTACACTCACTGTGCTAGTGGACAGAAGTGTCTATGTGTTTTGTCAAGAATTCGACATCACAGCACTCAGGGCATTTTCACACGCGCTCCGTCCCCATCTTCAACAGCCGGCGCAGAGTTCCATTAATGGTGGTACTGGCTGTAGTCGGGTTATATGTCCGTCTTGCTTTTCCTCTGAGTGCATTGAGCTCGCCAGACCCTCTGGTTAAACCCAAGTGCATCGTTTTATCAAGGTTAAATAATCCTGTCTCTCTTCCGACTTCGTTACTGTTTCCCAAAGGGCCTTGACCACATCTGCCTTGTCATGTATCAGTTCACCACCCAGTAGTGCAGATCCAGCCAATCTGTCTGCCTATTTATTCCCCACCACGCCGGTATCACCTGGAGAAAAGATGTCAAAAGTATGCTCACTACCTGTGACCTTCCAAGTAAAGCTTGCCACTCTGTTCGAATCAACCCTGTCTTCACCTTTCTCAGCATGCTTTCAGAGTCTGTTACAATTACGACTGTATATTATCTTGTTCTCCTAGCCATCGGAAAACTGCAGTAACCGCCTCCACCTCCATTCTCATGCTAGATGTTGAGGTATCATATGCCAGGGTGTTCTGCACTAAAGATTTTGCATTGGCTTTTGCTACGAAACCCCAGATATTTCTCTTCCCTCTTAACACAGAACTATCTGTATAGATAATCAGATCATCTGGATGATAATTGTCATGAATCTACTTTTGGACTTCCTCTTCTTTAGCACCTGTGATCATGACCCTACACAGGTCAGAATTTTCCTCTGACTTACTCCTCTCCTTGCCCAGTGTTCTCCAGCATGCATACTTATCTTATTGTGTCTTCTGCTTCAGCCATCCTTGATATTCCTCTTTTCACCCTCTTACCCTTAGCAGCATCCAAAGTTTCATGCAAAGGGTGCTCTTTGTCTGCAGCACCTTTAGTCTACCTTCAATGCTCGGCAATGCAAGGATGTATTGCATGCACACAATCAGGGTGTCTCTTGTACATTTCAGGATCAACCACATAGCTTCATTCTGTATGCGCTCGTTTCACTAGCTGACTCTTTAAGACAGTGAGGAACCCCATTCCATAGTCAGTCACTGAGACGATTAAGTTCTGGTATAGTGTGAACAGCATTCTCTGCTTCATGTCCATTGCTGCCATATAATCTTCAGTGCGTTAAGACCTTTTTGGGCCTTTGTCACAACCCCCTCTATGTGATTCCTGAAAGACAAACTTCTGTCAAAGGTGATTCCGTGGTACCGCAGTCGCAGTCTAGTTTTGATGTCCCTGCCATTTATTTTGAGGCTTGGAACATCAGCTCAAACATTTCTGTTGTCCAAAGAACACCACAGAACGATTGCTTTTTCTGAGTTGATTACAGCACTCATCTCTGTATACCTGTCGATCACCTTATTTACCGTTGCCTGTAACTCTTGAGCTGTTTGATTCCGATATCGCTCCTGCCTATATCTGAGAACATCATCTGCGAAGTGTCAATATTCTGCCAACTTCAGGTGTTTATAATCTTGCAGGTCCTTGTGATAATCCTGGGGCTATAATACATGGTTCAGAGTTCCATGAACCCCGGCAGAGAGCGACCTGACAACAATACAGAATAGCTGCTATCCAATAGAAGTGATAATCCTGGGGCTAAAATACATGGTTCAGAGTTCCATGAACCCCGGCAGAAAGCGACCTGACAACAATACAGAATAGCTGCTATCCAATAGAACAGTCAATGACAAACTCTCTTCTCCATAAGCTTTGTCAGGAAAGAGTAAGAGTGAGATATTGATAGGTCCTTTTTTGTGTGTGTGTGTGAAATTTTAAAACTTTAAAAAAGTTCACATATATAATTAATTAATGAAAAAATTGTTTTTTGTGTGTGTAGAGAAGCGGTGAAGTACATTCAAGAGCACCTGACCATCCCCGTTGACGACCTGGGACGAGACTCCATTGTCAATGCAGCTAAAACTAGCATGTCCAGCAAGATCATTGGCTCGTATCCTTGACAGATCATGTGTGTATTGAGAATGCAAAACAAAGTTATGAAATGGTTGTTCTTGACCAATGGAGGGGGGGGGGCAATATGTGACTTATAGGTTTGTAAGGTGATAGTGCATGATCTAGAGGTTTGTAAGGTGATAGTGCATGATCTATAAGTTTGTAAGATGACAGTGCATGACCTGTAGGTTTGTAAGATGACAGTACATTGCCTGTAAATTTGTAAGATGATAGTACATGACCTATTGATTTGTAAGATGATAGTACATGATCTATTGGTTTGTAAGATGATAGTAAATGACCTATTGGTTTGTAAGATGATAGTACATGACCTATTGGTTTGTAAGATGACAGTACATAATAGTAAATGACAGTACATGACCTAATTGGTTTGTAAGAGTACATGACCTAGTAATGTACATGACCTATTGGTTTTGTAAGTACATGAACCTATAGGTTAATGACAGTACATGACCTAGTACATGACCTATTGGTTTGTAAGATGATAGTACATGACCTATTGGTTTGTAAGATAATAGTAATGACATTGGTTTGTAAGATGATAGTAATGACCTATTGGTTTGTAAGATAATAGTACATGACCTATAGGTTTGTAAGATGATAGTACATGACCTATTGGTTTGTAAGATGACAGTACATGACCTATTGGTTTGTAAGATGACAGTACATGACCTATTGGTTTGTAAGATGACAGTACATGACCTATTGGTTTGTAAGATGACAGTACATGACCTATTGGTTTGTAAGATGACAGTACATGACCTATTGGTTTGTAAGATGACAGTACATGACCTATTGGTTTTTAAGATGACAGTACATGACCTATTGGTTTGTAAGAGGTGACGCTATTGGTTTGTATGACAACTAGTAAATTGGTGTGTAATGAGTACATGACCTATTGGTTTGTACAACATTGTAATGATGACAGTACATAGGACCTATTGGTTTTAACTGTGTCCTGACCTATTGGTTTTATGAGGTTTGTAAGGAGTACATGCATGACAATGACCTATTGGTTTGTAAGATGACAGTACATGACCTCCTTGTGGTACAACTAGTAAATTTGTGTAATGAGTATACAACATTGTAATGTGCAGGTAATTTTTACTGTGTCCTGTTCAGTTTTAGAGGGAGCATGACTCCTTGTTACCTCTCTCAGCAGACCTATGCAGTTGTGTGTATTTGTTCAATATCTTTAACCGAATCTAGCGATGCAGATTTTTTTGCCAACATGGTGGTGGATGCTATTAGCGCTGTGAAGACCTCTGACGGCAAAGGCGGTTACCGCTACCCGGTTAAAGCCGTCAACGTTCTTAAGGCTCATGGCCGCAGTACCAGGGAAAGCATTCTGGTTCAAGGCTATGCTATCAACTGTACTGTTGCTTCACAGGGTAAATATACACATTTGTTTTCAGGTGGATGGATGTTTGAAATGGAGGTGGATTATTGTTTTAGTAATTAAATAATTCCTCTACTACCTGAAATACACATGCACAAATTTGAGACTGAGAAGTAGGTGGGAGGACACGGTGGTAGCTGGATGAGATGGCAGAGACGGGACCCCTGGGTGTGAGTTGGTAGAGGATCGGTGCTGCAGTGAGTAATAAACGACAGGATAAAGAGGAAATCTGTAGAATGCCAGAGGAAACGTGGCAGTAAATTCCCAAGACAGGGTTTATGCCTAGAACTAGTTTCCCAGAGAGGCAGCCTGCTGGTTTTGCTTGGTTAAATCAGAATAGATTGGATTCAAAGAACATCTGCTCCACTGAAGTAAAGTCAGAAGGAGATAACTAAACAAGGGAGAAGGAGATTTCCTGGAAATGTGTGTTTGAAAGACAGTGCCAAAGGGAACTGGTCAGCCCAACTTGGTGTGTCATCACCTAAAATATGTGAGTAACACCTTGTATTGAGGCCATTAGCTGCCATGGATATTCACTGACTTCCTAAAGAATTTGGTCACCCACTGAAAGAAAAGTTTAGGAAGTTAAAAAAATTTTAAACCTTAAAACAATTTTGTTTCTTATGTGTTGTCATGCATCAAAGCCTTTCACCGGTCTGTGTGTTAACACGAACTGTTGTTTGTGTTCAGCAATGCCCAAGTCGATAGTGAATGCCAAGATCTGCTGCTTGGACTTCAGTCTGCAGAAAGCCAAGATGAAGCTGGGAGTTCAGATTTTGGTGGAGCACCCAGAACAGTTGGATCTGATGAGACAGAGGTATGTTTTCATGGTTGCAGTTATAATCCACATTCCTTGATTTGGGGCTTAATCTAATTATTTTGGATTCCGGGGCTTCACTGCACGCGCGTACACACAAAGAGGTGAGGCATTTGCATATATAAGAGATAAATGCTGGATCTTTGTTTGTTTACACAGTATTGGATTGTCTTAATTGCTACAGCTTCTACCAGTTTGACTAATCACTGATTGAGCCATAAATAACTTAAGAGGTACAATCTTCATCAGTAGTATTTCAAGATTCTAGTAAGTGATGGCTTATTTTTTGGGGTCGAACGATTCTTTCACAGCGGTCGCCTAAGACCATAGGAAAACCATCATTGAAGTTATGAAGGAAACTAATTATTTGTGGGTCGCCACAACATGAGGAAACTATTAAAGGGTCGCAATGTTAGGAAGGTTGAGAGCCACTGGTATAGGGGGGGGGGGAAATCCATGATAAACATAACATCCAGATTTGCTTGTAACAGTATTTTTGTTTGTAGGATAATCTATAATCTAACATTAAAATCCCTCGCTACGCCTTTCTCCACACTACCCACTGAAGCTCATCTTTATACTCCTAAATATGTCTGTTCAAGCTGTTTAATTGCAGAATTATTATTATGGGAGGGGGAAAATGTATGATATATGTATGCGATGAGGAATAGAGTAAGAGACAGACATACATTTGTGAGCTCAAACGGCCCAGATTATATAGTCGTTTTAAATTAGCCCTGCGTGTAAATAAATATTGTTTAAGGGGTCAGTTTTTGTCCACTGGCTATAGCCCCACACTCCCCCCACTTCTGATCTAGAGTCTTGTAGGATCTCCACTCAGCTGTTTGTAGTTTTAACTACATAGGTGTGTGGAAAATATACAGGGGGTGTTTATTGCTTGTGTTTAAACAAAAGTGACATTTACAACTTTAAATATGATGTAGTGGTGTATTGTGTTCTGTGGAGTTTCAAGTCAGGTGAGTGGGTTATCTAATCTAAGCATCATGTCCTTCTACAGAGAGTTGGATATCACCAAGGAGAAGATTCAGAAGATACTGGCGACCGGGGCCAATGTGATCCTGACCACAGGAGGCATCGATGACCTGTGTCTCAAGTACTTTGTGGAGGCCGGGGCCATGGCCGTCCGCAGGTGCAAGAAAGCTGACCTCAAGAGGATTGCCAAGGCTACAGGAGGTGGGTGGTTAGGCCTGTCTGTGGTGTGTTCTTGTTGAGTGGAGTCTACAACTGTTGTTGTTGTTTCATACAAGCTTGAGGGGTGCTACAGTTTCTGTCTTATGTCTGTTCTGTGCTGTCTTCTTCCTTTGATTATTTGTAAGTCAGTTACATTTTCACCCTCTCAGCAATCAGGTTCTTCTAATTGATGAGTGTTAAATAGGATGGATTCCAGAATGGTGAAGAAAAGAGAAATGTCTGGACAAACAACTGGTATCAACAGTTAAAAAAAGGAGATGACAAATACTAGACACATTCTGGGGAGAAACAGACAGAACATGTCCAGACAGGGACTCGATTGAGGAAACAAATGGATTGAGGAAAGGGTCAGGACACCCTAGAGAATTTCTTAAGAGGAACCTTGATGGGGGAGGCCATTGGTGCTGGACTGTATTCATTCCAGGAAGTCAGAATGATTGCACATAATAGAACAGAATGATTAGGCTGTGAGTACTGTGTGGCATATTATGGTTTGTTTCAATGTCAGCAGTGTTCTGTTCAAGTGATTATTTTGACACACCTGATACACATTTCCTATAGATACCTCTCCTGTTTGCTGGCAGCACAGCACATCTAATGCTGTCTAGCTAATCAGAGAGAAGTGTTGAGTCCAGTAAACTTATTGTGAGACAAAAGTAAGGCGTTCTTCTCTGTTCCACAGCAACTTTTCTGATGACACTGGCCAATATGGATGGGGAGGAATCATTTGAGCCATCTTATCTAGGTCATGCTGATGAGGTAGCACAAGAGAGGATCTGCGACGACGAGCTGATTGTAATCAAGGGGTGAGTCACTGACACTTGAAATGTTTTAGCAGTTTAAAAAACTGGCAAGATGGTAGCATAGATTTGAATTATCTGCCTGTAATTCAATCGTTGTGAAATTAAGTTTCCACGGATGGGTTCCCAGAGAGAACAGAAATCAACCCACTGCTCCATCATCTCATCAATTGTGACTAGTTTAGGGGATTGTTGAAGTTAAACTGAAATGCTAGATATCGCAGTCTAGTTGTAAACCACGCCATGACTTGTCAGCTTCACTTGAAGGGTGAGACACAGAAGAAGAATTCTTTGAGAGATATCAGTGTTTTACTGTTCTGGTCGCCTGATCAACCTAAATGGGTTGGCAGGTCATTTCCTGGGACGTAAAAGTAGCTAGTACGATATTCATGTCATACAGTGTGTGTATGTATATGTTGGTCTAAGAGTACGGACTAGCACCTGGTACTGAGTGGGCTTCATCGCATTAAAGACTCCCCTCACTTTTCTGATAAATCTCTCTCTGTGTCTGTCTGTCTTTCTTCTTCCCCCCCCCCCCCCCCCACCCCATGCACACTGTCATGACCATTCTCTACAGTGTGTGTATGTATATGTTGGTCTAAGAGTACAGACTGCTACCTGGTACTGAGTGGGCTTCATGGCATTAAAGACTCTCCTCACTTTATTGATAAATCTCTCTCTGTGACTGAACATTCTGGAATTATTTTCTCCCCCCCCCCCCCCCCCCCCCCTCTCCCCCCCCCCCCCCCCCCCACACATACACATGCACACTGTCATGACCATTCTCAACAGTTGTGACATCTGGCTGTATATTGGTAAAGCCTTGCTTCAGATATCCTTTTTTTTTTTATTCTGCAGTTTCTCCTGGCCTAGCTTACAGGTCAGACAGGAGCTAGACACAGAACATTAGGACACAGAACATTAGAAACACTCTGGGCATTTATTTTCATCTATAGTTGCCTTTAAAGAAACGGGTGGTTGACAGCTAGGCTGCAGTATGTGCACCTTTTGGCTGAACACATCAATTTCAACAAAACTAATTAGTCGCCAATTATGGCATGTTTGTCACAGGCAGTGGGTCTGTTCCTCCAGGATATCCACAGCCTTCTGTGAACACGGGGTCCAGCCTTCTGTGAACATGGGGTCCAGCCTTTTGTGAACATGGGGTCCAGCCTTCTGTGAACACGGGTCCAGCCTTCTGTGAACACAGGGTCCAGCCTTCTGTGAACACAGGGTCCAGCCTTCTGTGAACGCAGGGTCCAGCCTTCTGTGAACACGGGGTCCAGCCTTCTGTGAACATGGGGTCCAGCCTTTTGTGAACGCAGGGTCCAGCCTTTTGTGAACATGGGGTCCAGCCTTTTGTGAACATGGGGTCCAGCCTTCTGTGAACACGGGGTCCAGCCTTCTGTGAACATGGGGTCCAGCCTTTTGTGAACATGGGGTCCAGCCTTCTGTGAACACGGGGTCCAGCCTTCTGTGAACATGGTGTCAATATTCTCTGACGCTGTAATCTGTTTTAATGATCTCAGGCTGATTTCCTGATGAGGTCTAATCTGATTGGTTCGTATTTCCAGAACAAAAGCTTGCACTGCCTCCTCCATCATTCTCCGCGGTGCCAATGACTTCATGGTGGACGAGATGGAGCGGTCCATTCACGATGCCCTCAGTGTGGTCAAGCGTGTGCTAGAGTCCAAGAAGGTGGTGGCAGGAGGTGGAGCTGTAGAAGCAGCTTTGTCCATTTACCTAGAGAATTTTGCCACGTCACTGGTGAGTGTTTGTATTTGATCATACAATGTCCAATATCATTACTGATATGTCCACTAACACCCGCCGGTGTCATTGCAACAGTTGTAGGTATTCATTAACGTCATCATGTTGCAGCCTTTTGTTGCTTTCATTATGGTCTTGCAAAATATCTGGTTTCCAAGGCTCCATAGACGCACTTCCCCTAGCAAGTATGTAATAAGAGGCACTAATTAATATGAAATATCAATGTTGTCTGTACATAATGGTAACCCATTGTGACAAAAGGAACAGCTACACTAAGCCGTCACAATAGAGGTCATGGGCAAGATACAGACAGCGAATTATAGAAAATTCTATTTGCGGGGGAAAATACACTGATAATCAATTATTAACTGTCTTTTGTGGAGAATGTGCTATGTTGGGAAGTTATGCAATCAATAGGCAATTATTAACTGTCTTTTGTGGAGAATGTGCTATGTTGGGAAGTTATGCAATCAAAAGGAGCACTGTGTGGTTGCTGAGTTTAGAGAGTTACAATGCTTCAGAAAGTGACGAGGCAGACCTGCGAATATTAAATGCATACTGTAAAGAAATCAGTATGTTAAAAAGGAATGCTTGATGTGGGAATGATATGCATGTCCTTGATTTCTGCTGGTATAATGCCATATTGGAGATGTGCTACGGACAGATGGAGTTGTTTTGTGAGTAAATATCATACATTTTGCAGAGTGGAAGAGCTTTTAAGAGGCATCACTTTCTGAATGCCACTTGCATGTTGTTAGTTAGGTTACACACTCATTAACTTAGAATAGTCGCACGGATAAAAGTAAAAACTATACCAATGTCACAGGCTGTTGGAGTGTGTGACTTTATGAATTGTCACTGTATCATAAATCCAGTCAGCTAATGGCCCATGTTTTGGCACCATTGTTTGCTCTTATGCCTGTTGTCATGTATAAATTGTCACATAATCTGTATTATAAATTCAATCAGTTAATGGCCCACATTATTGCACCAATGTTTGCTCTTGTGTCTATTGTCATATGTTATTATAAGTCCAGTCAGTTAATGGCCCACATTATTGCACCAATGTTTGATCTTATGCCATATGTTGTTTATTATAAGTCCAGTCAGTTAATGGCCCACATTATTGCACCAATGTTTGATCTTATGTCATATGTTGTTTATTATAAGTCCAGTCAGTTAATGGCCCACATTATTGCACCAATGTTTGATCTTATGTCATATGTTGTGTATTATAAGTCCAGTCAGTTAATGGCCCACATTATTGCACCAATGTTTGATCTTATGTCATATGTTGTTTATTATAAGTCCAGTCAGTTAATGGCCCACATTATTGCACCAATGTTTGATCTTATGTCATATGTTGTGTATTATAAGTCCAGTCAGTTAATGGCCCACATTATTACACCAATGTTTGATCTTGTGTCTTATGTCATATGTTGTGTATATTATAAGTCCAGTCAGTTAATGGCCCACATTATTACACCAATGTTTGATCTTATGTCATATGTTGTGTATTATAAGTCCAGTCAGTTAATGGCCCACATTATTACACCAATGTTTGATCTTGTGTCTTATGTCATATGTTGTGTATTATGTCCAGTCAGTTAATGGCCCACATTATTACACCAATGTTTGATCTTATGTCATATGTTGTGTATTATAAGTCCAGTCAGTTAATGGCCCACATTATTACACCAATGTTTGATCTTGTGTCTTATGTCATATGTTGTGTATTATAAGTCCAGTCAGTTAATGGCCCACATTATTACACCAATGTTTGATCTTATGTCATATGTTGTGTATTATAAGTCCAGTCAGTTAATGGCCCACATTATTACACCAATGTTTGATCTTATGTCATATGTTGTGTATTATAAGTCCAGTCAGTTAATGGCCCACATTATTACACCAATGTTTGATCTTGTGTCTTATGTCATATGTTGTGTATTATAAGTCCAGTCAGTTAATGGCCCACATTATTACACCAATGTTTGATCTTATGTCATATGTTGTGTATTATAAGTCCAGTCAGTTAATGGCCCACATTATTACACCAATGTTTGATCTTATGTCATATGTTGTTTATTATAAGTCCAGTCAGTTAATGGCCCACATTATTGCACCAATGTTTGATCTTATGTCATATGTTGTTTATTATAAGTCCAGTCAGTTAATGGCCCACATTATTGCACCAATGTTTGATCTTATGTCATATGTTGTGTATTATAAGTCCAGTCAGTTAATGGCCCACATTATTGCACCAATGTTTGATCTTATGTCATATGTTGTTTATTATAAGTCCAGTCAGTTAATGGCCCACATTATTGCACCAATGTTTGATCTTATGTCATATGTTGTGTATTATAAGTCCAGTCAGTTAATGGCCCACATTATTACACCAATGTTTGATCTTGTGTCTTATGTCATATGTTGTGTATTATAAGTCCAGTCAGTTAATGGCCCACATTATTACACCAATGTTTGATCTTATGTCATATGTTGTGTATTATAAGTCCAGTCAGTTAATGGCCCACATTATTACACCAATGTTTGATCTTGTGTCTTATGTGATATGTTGTGTATTATAAGTCCAGTCAGTTAATGGCCCACATTATTACACCAATGTTTGATCTTATGTCATATGTTGTGTATTATAAGTCCAGTCAGTTAATGGCCCACATTATTACACCATTGTTTGATCTTGTGACTTATGTGATATGTTGTGTATTATAAATCCAGTCAGTTAATGGCCCACATTATTACACCAATGTTTGATCTTATGTCATAGTTTGTGTATTATAAGTTTCCAGTCAGTTAATGGCCCACATTATTACACCAATGTTTGATCTTATGTCATATGTTGTGTATTATAAGTCCAGTCAGTTAATGGCCCACATTATTACACCATTGTTTGATCTTGTGACTTATGTGATATGTTGTGTATTATAAATCCAGTCAGTTAATGGCCCACATTATTGCACCAATGTTTGATCTTATGTCATATGTTGTGTATTATAAGTCCAGTCAGTTAATGGTCCACATTATTACACCATTGTTTGATCTTGTGACTTATGTGATATGTTGTGTATTATAAGTCCAGTCAGTTAATGGCCCACATTATTGCACCAATGTTTGATCTTATGTCATATGTTGTGTATTATAAGTCCAGTCAGTTAATGGCCCACATTATTACACCAATGTTTGATCTTATGTCATATGTTGTGTATTATAAGTCCAGTCAGTTAATGGCCCACATTATTGCACCAATGTTTGATCTTATGTCATATGTTGTGTATTATAAGTCCAGTCAGTTAATGGTCCCATGTTGTAGCACCAATGTTTGTTCTTATGTCTACCAGGCCAGCAGAGAACAGCTGGCGATTGCCGAGTTTGCCCAGTCGCTGCTGGTGATCCCCAAACAACTGGCTGTCAATGCTGCTCAAGACTCTACAGATCTGGTTGCCAAGCTGCGGGCTTTCCACAACACCTCCCAGACACGGGCGGAGCACAACGACCTCAGATGGTAGGTTCTCCTCATCTGTGATGTCATAGTTTTAAACCAGACATACAGTTCATTGAAGACAAGCTTCCTGTGTGGGCTCTGGGGGTAGAACCCAGTGGCCCCCAACAAGCATGTCGAAACAAGGCAACTAATTCCATCTCCCCCAGCATGCTTTACTGAGGTAGTTCGCATAAATAAATGGGGAACCCTTGAAGTCGTATAAATATTAAATATAATGAAGAAACATACCATGTATTGATTGGCACTCATAGAAAGAAAGAAGGACACACTGGACAGCGTAAAAATCTATACTTTTAGTTACCAAGCCAGAAATTGAACTTGTCATCTACAAATGACATGTATGCCTTGCTATGGAAACGCCTACTAAGAACATGACCACCTAGGCAGCTCAAAAAGGTGTCTTCACTGGGGTAACTGGAAGAAGAAAAGGAGAAGATGATTTATTTCTTGGTTGTGGCCGTTTATAATTGTATGTTTGGCTTTTCATGTGTCCACAAGTAGAGCTAGGATAAGCCAGTATTTTGTTGTGTTGAAAACTGACAGTTCTAACCTGTTTTTAGAAAAGTATAACAACTGTGTATCACTAAAGTCCTAAGTGTTAACCCATGAATTTATCTTCTGTGTGTGTCTCAGGGTTGGACTGGACCTCTACGAGGGAGTCGTCAGGGACAATAAGAAGGCTGGTGTTCTGGAACCTGCCATGTCTAAGATCAAATCCTTGAAGTTTGCCACGGAAGCTGCCATCACCATCCTCCGCATCGATGACATGATCAAACTGGTCTCGGAGAAACAGGGTGGCCAGTCTTACCAGGATGCTTACAGATCTGGGGCTTTGGAGGATTAATTGTTCAAACCACTTTAGGACATTTTTGTGTGTGTGTGGTTGCATTTTGTACCTTTCATACTTTAAACTTTCAACAGGTATTTTTCTTCTCTCTATTGTGTGGAAATTAAAACATGAGTGAGAGATCATCACTTATAAATGAAATGAAATTGTTTCCATGTTAGATCTATTTTTAAAAAAAAACATCATTTGGATATAAAACAGAAAGCTGTACATAAGACGGCTTCAGTGTCATGTTTTCTAGATTCTTGTCGAGTGTTTTTCATACCTTGTGGCTTCAGGGGCATGAAGTCAGTAGTGAATGTTAGGTTTATGATACTATATATTTTTGGAACCAGTCAGCACAAGATTAAGTGATAATCACCATGTCGCCACCTTTGCTTTTTAACAAGTTTCCTGGGACCAGTATTTTATCTGGGTTGAGCAGGTGGATGAAGAAGAAAGAAGTTCTCTGCCTCAATGAAGATCCCAACCTTCGGCCACAAGACCATCGGGCACATGTATCAGCCACAGCCCCCTTGAGTGCATCTTGTGGGGAGCTGACGGTAGTCTTGGGAAATATCGGGAGTTTTTGTCCTATCTGGTTTCACTTCTCATCAGAAGAATGCCTCATAAATGTTCAGTGTAATAAATTGTCATCCATAGTTGTATTAAAATTGATTGTTTGTTTAGTTTCTATATGCAGATGAATGTGAGGAAACAAACAATGAAATTAATAATCTGTTTAAATCACAAATAATTACTGACATCATGGGTGCTAATAGACTCTAGTGGTTGAGGTATTTATATAGAGGAGAGAATGTCAGACAAAAATTGTGTATGCCTGACAATTGAATGGGTGTAGAAGGTGGTGGAGTTGTCGCCAACTCGAAAGAGGCCAGTCAAGAGATGAATGGAGGCGGGCTATACCTGCAGCAATGAACCTGAAGGGATCAGAATGCTGAAAAAGAAAATCGATTTTATGAGATTAACTGCGGCAGGTCTATTGTTTGTCTCCCACAATGCGTCCTGGAACCCATATGGGGCTAGAATTTTCATATTAGCAATCACAGACTTTGGTCTTGTTCCAGAACTTGAGTTTTACGTTTGCTTGCAGATTGAAGGTTCTTCACCTCTCTGGCAGATGCACTTCTATTTCCAAGGAAACCCTTAATTCGTCTACTTTACGACATGCTTGTTAGGGTGGCCATAATGGGACCCCGGAACCCATACGGGGAAATGACTAGCCAGCTCCCTCAATATTTCTGGTTTCCTCCACAGGAGAGGCAGAGCACACGCATACGTCTGTAGTTTATTATTTAGTTAATGATACTAAAAACAAAGGTAGTCCCATAGCCTATGCTGCCACTGTGTTATGAGGTACTAGGTTTTCACGCAGACATAATAGGCCCTCCGGGAATTGTAAAGGGTCTAGGACTTCGGGTGCAGTGAATCCACATACCTTGCCAGAAAGAGACTTGGAGTTGACATCGGCATAGAAAATGAGACACACATTATAGGACTTGTTAGATTTAAAGTTTAAACAACGGATCAACTTCATGGCCCATAAGTGGTCCGTTCTACTTCTAACTTAAGTCTGAGTTCGAAGAATCTGCGCACGAACTCCGTAGCACCGACGAGGATCCTGACATACATACATCAGATATTTTAACTTTAAATTGTTTCCTGGCAGCGCCGCGTGGCTACATTTTACGTGTGCAGCAGTGCATACGGACGTCCGATCTTCACCTTAGATGTTACCTCCCTCTACACCTCTATTCCACATTCGGATGGGCTCCAGGCTTTGCGGTTCTCTCTAGATCAGAGAGTCAGCCCTGCCATAGCCACTGACCCTTTGATTCGTCTGGCTGAGTTAGTGCTCACTCTAAACTCGTTCGAGTTTAATGGCCAGTATTTCAACCAGATTAGCGGTGTCGCTATGGGGACCAAGATGGGACCCAGCTATGCCTGCCTCTTCATGGGGCACCTCGAGCATCAGATACGTCATGCATATACCGGTAGTCTCCCCGAGCATCAGATACATCATGCATATACCGGTAGTCTCCCCGAGCACCAGATACATCATGCATATACCGGTAGTCTGCCCGAGCACCAGATACGTCATGCATATACCGGTAGGCTCCCCGAGCACCAGATACGTCATGCATATACTAGTAGGCTCCCTGAGCACCAGATACGTCATGCATATACCGGTAGTCTCCCCGAACACTAGATACGTCATGCATATACCAGTAGGCTCCCCGAGCACCAGATACGTCATGCATATACCGGTAGTCTCCCCGAGCACCAGATACGTCATGCATATACCGGTAGGCTCCCCGAGCACCAGATACGTCATGCATATACTAGTAGGCTCCCCGAGCACCAGATACGTCATGCATATACCGGTAGTCTCCCCGAACACCAGATACGTCATGCATATACCAGTAGGCTCCCCGAGCACCAGATACGTCATGCATATACCTGTAGGCTCCCCGAGCACCAGATACGTCATGCACATACCAGTAGGCTCCCGAGCACCAGTACGTCATGCATATACGGGTAGGCTCCCCGAGCACCGGATACGTCATGCATATACCGGTAGGCTTCACGAGCACCAGATACGTCATGCATATACCGGTAGGCTCCCCGAGCACCAGATACGTCATGCACATACCAGTAGGCTCTTCGAGCACCAGATAAGTCATGCATATACCGGTAGGCTCCCCGAGCACCAGATACGTCTTGCATATACCGGTAGGCTCCCAGAGCACCAGATACGTCATGCACATACCAGTAGGCTCCTCGAGCACCAGATACGTCATGCATATACCGGTAGGCTTTCGAGCACCAGATACGTCATGCATATACCGGTAGGCTCCCCGAGCACCAGATACGTCATGCATATACCGGTAGGCTCCCCGAACTCTACAGGAGGTATATCGATGATTGCATCGGTGTCACCGATATGCCCTTACAGGAACTGCAGAATTTTATTCATTTTTTCTCTTTCATCCCAACATCCCATGCACTTCTAGCATCTTACCTTCGTGCATTTTCAGGATCTCACCGTCACCATGAATTCTATGGACCTTAGCACCTTGGTGTACAACAAGCCTACTGATTTTCTTCTCTACAAGTCCTCCCATCCCTCTTCTTGCAAGGACTCTATTCCGTTCTCCCAACTTCTACGCCTCCGCAGACTATGCCAGGAGAACGACGACTTTCACAACAAATGGAAATGCTGGACTTCTTCAGGCTTCGAGGGTATCCCGATCATGTCCTATCTGCCGCCTCTCACCGCGCACGGTCTTTCCATCGTGCCGAAGCTCTCGCTACCAAGCCGAAACAGACCTATTCTCACACTTACCTACCACCCTCACAACATCCGCGCCAAGAATATTTTCCTTAGGCATCTCTCCATCCTTAAAGCCGACCCTGCCACCAGCACGATTTTCTCTGAACCTCGTCTAGTGGCCTACAGGCATGATCGTAACCTCAAGGACATTCTAGTCAAGAGTAGGTTACGTCCCGCGTCTGAGTTCCACTTCGGCACAGTCTCTTGCCATAGACCTGTATGCAGAACCTGTCCATGTGTGGTACAGGTGGCTAGTCTAGAATTCCCTAACGCCACCTTCCACATACGTGAAGCATTCTATTGTAGCAGCCGCAATGTCATTTATGCCATCAACTGCATATGCATGAAATACATTGGTGAAACAGGTCTACGGCTGGCTGACAGGTTCAGACATCTTTTGGATGTGAAAATGGTGCTCTTAAACCAGTACCGTTGCACTTCAATTCCCAGGATCACCAAGGTGTCCACGACATGGAGGTGACAGCCATTAAATCTAGCCATTCCAGCGACAGAGTCCGCAAGTCCCTTGAGAATCGCTTTATTTATACTCTGGGGACTTTGACGCCCTCCGGACTGAATTGCCAACACAGTTTCATTTAAACTTCCAGGGGATTGAACTGCCCTCACAGTTTCATACCCTACACCCCAGTTATGGCCCCTGATACTCCACCGGGGGTTATTTATTCCCCCAGCTGATAAGTGCGGTCATAATTAATATACATGTTTCGTCCTTTTTAGGACGAAATTTTTTGTTTTTTGAAGCCCCACCCTGGCTTTTGCCAGGGGCCGCAATATAGGCAGGCCATAAATATGGCCAATTGTCGGAACGCGATTTCTGGGACCTCTCCACGGCGATCCTTATCCACATGGTGGCACTTTGTGTCATCGGGTGTTTGTCGCTTGTGTGATGTCCTAATGCCCTAGTCCTAGAAAGTCAGTCAGTCAGTCACGTGCGGTCATTTTGCTGAGTAACAACCGACCTGGCCGCATCGTGATACCAGCTAAGTGATTTTTTGTATCTATGTAGTATTGTTTATTTTGTGTGTGCTGATGAAGACTCAATAGCCACAACGTCACGTCTTGTTTGTATTTATTTTACTGTGAAGCTTGCTAATATAATTTTCGTTCAGGTTTATATCTTTTCTCGATCTTTACCCAGAAACCAGGGGAAATTACTAGAAGTCCTCGTGAAATAAATCCCAGCCTTCACCGGGGCTTGAACCCGGGATCTCCAGCACTAGAGGCGGACGCCATGCCTGGAGACCACGGTATAGGACCCCCATAACTAATTAACACAGAACTGATACTATTAGCCACCGAACTCTGGGGGGGGGGGGGTGTCTGAGCATCAATGCACATATCCGGAGTGCAATGATGATAACCTAACCAACTAATTAGCTAACAGACATGATAGGTCATGACATATAATTTATAATCCTGATTCATATAGACACACTGCAGGCGACACCTGGTCGGTATTGCCGTTACGGGCGCCCTAACCATCACTTCAGATTAGGGCCTCAGGACGTAATATTATACAAGACAGTTTCAGCAACACTACAGTGACTTATATTGTAGAGAGGTACGTAGTTAGATACAGGGTTAGGAGAATATTGCGACTAATGACATGATGACCGGAAGAGTTGCCTAAAATTCCCGGTTCTAGGTGCAACCCCCCCCCCCTCTTTTTGTTTTCAGATTTGCAGTTAATAGGATTAACATCGCAAGGATGATAATCAGACAGGTATGCATATGAGAAACCCCCGTTCAACCGTGCAGTCATATCCCATATAGCACAGTTTTACTGGGGCACTTCAAAACGTTTGTCTGGTTACCTATATTCTAGTGTGCTTTGGACTGGGGGGGGGATAAACATGTAAAACGACTAATTAGGTGTTTGCTTAAATCGGAAATGTCGGTCCAAAATGTGCATATATATTGCAACCTAGCTGTAAACCGCAACGTGCCAACCGCCTGTCTAAGGGCGAAGTCAAAAGAGGAAGATTAGAAATTTGGCCGAGAATTGTATGTCTTGCCAGGCGGCCTCGCTTGATGACCTCGGGTGTTTTCCAATCTCACGAGACCCGCCGTTGTCATATGACTGCAGGGGAAGTCACTCTGACAGATTTCTGCTAGACCCCGAATTCATCAACTTGTTGATCGTTGACTCTCAAAAACATTCGGTTTTTCTGGTAGAAAAGTGCTAATTGTTTGACTTTCTGCTCTCAGAATGTCTTCAGGAGAAGCTAGTCATTTTATTGAAGATTTGGAGCGGCTGAAAACTGGTATGTAGAACATGTTTTGTGGGTTGTAGGACCGGCTTATCGTCTTCCCTGTCCCCGACTAACCGATCTGTAGTCCAGCCCCCCTGAACTCAAGACTGAGCCTTGCTACAACACCTCGATCACTTTTTATTGTTAGAGATCAGTTTGATGAAATAAGTTTATTACACTACACACATTTTAAGCATTACAAAAGTCTTTACCTGAAAGGTTTTTGCGTTGTTAATCTGCGTGCAAGAAGGAAATAAAGCAGTGTTGTTGAATTGAAGGGAGCAGTGCAATTAATATTAAGTGGAAAAACACGACTGGTGTAATTAAAACAGTATTAGTATTAGCGTACATTACCAAACGTCTTCTTGCAAGCTTCTGTTTTGGATTTCATATTTCACCATCATTACTAGCAATTTTTGCAAGCCTGTATATTCTGTAATGATATTTTCCCACATCTGCTCTGCAACATGTAGTGGTAGCTGCTTTGCTTTACTTCACTGATTAACATGTCAAGGGCATTTTCCTGCTCTCAGACTTGATAATCATCGTCAACTGCTATGTCTATGGCATGGGCGATCAAGTTTGTTCATAGCTGAAGCATGTTACAACCTCATTTATCTTAATGTCAGTTTAAGTTTCTCAGTTTAAAATGTAGTAGGTGATATGACATTCAGGTGACTTTGATTGAAGTCAGTACTGAGATATAGTTATTTCAAACCCATTCTGCTGTGTAGAGTCTTCTTCTGCTTGTTCTTTTTCTACTTAGTGTTCATTGCTGTAAACTCTGGTGGAAAGCACAGGTAGCTTGCCCATTTCTTGACTTTAGCCTTGTTCTAAAACTTGAGGTTTGCATGCACATCTGTTTGACAGATCTGGCTTTTTTATATGCAGAATGTTGGTTCCCTGCCTTGTAAGCAGACACACTTTGGATTCATAGGAAACATCCCTAATTGGTTAGCTTGTATGACATGCTTGTTGGGGAGGCAGTGGCTCAACCCCCCCCCCCCCCTCCCCCCACCCCAACTCAGTGGGGCCCTGGAGCTCACACAGGCACTGTTTAGTAGTGAGTCTTACAATGTGAATGAACAAATTTAGAAAAGCTGCCAAAATAGGATTCCTGGAATAAATTTTATTAATACTTTGGGCAGCCAAAATAGCTAACATTGTTGGCCAGTAAAGCAAAACATACTCAGCTACAAAAAGAGACACCTGTATATTACCTGGGCTCAAAAAAGAGACACCTGTATATTACCTGGGCTCAAAAAAGAGACACCTGTATATTACCTGGGCTCAAAAAAGAGACACCTGTATATTACCTGGGCTCAAAAAGGAGACAAATAATAATAACCCTGTAACCTATTATGATGGAGCCATGGTAAAAGTCCAACAGAGTGGCCGGACAGTCACCTGCGTAAGATATGGAGCATCGCTGCACAGAAAGCTTGAGCCTCCAAGACACAGATGATAGATTATTTTTAAGTATTGCAGTAGGTTTATAGTATTACAATACATTTCTGTACAAAACTACTCTTAGATTGTAAAGTTTATGTTTATAGTTTTATGAAGAATTAAATACAATATGTATGTTCCCCAAGTGGGTTCCATGGCCCTGTTATAAGGAAAACAAGAATAAGAGTTGTAAGAGTCGACTAATTGGGAGCTTCCTTCAAAGTCGTAGTGCATCTGCCTGAGAGGCACAGAACCAGCAGTCTGCATACAGATGAGTCAGATCTGTAAAATGGATACACACGCAACACTCAGGTTCTGAAACACGACTTCAGTCCAGAAGTGGATGAACAATCAGAACTTTCCGCCAGAGTTTACAGCTGGTGAATGTGAAGAATGAAGAAGAAGAAGATGTATGTATGTATTATTCACTTTTAAAGAATTGTATTGTTATGTTCGTCTCAAGGCTGCAATGAAATCACATTACTATACATATGTATTAACTCTTTCAGACTCATTAATTTTGACAGACTTGGCTCGCATTAATATCAATTTACAAAAATGACAGTGAGGTTTTTTTTTTTCATTCAAAGAAACAAAGGCAGTTGAGAATATATTTCCATTTCCTTTAAAAGTATATATTTTTTTTAAAAGAGAAAAAAATGTACATTTTGAATCTGATATATTTTGTTTAATCATATTATAGTTAGTAGGAAAAAAAAAAGAATTCAGCAGGTGTGTTATCTTTTATAAAGACAAAATTTTACAAAAAAAGTCTTTACTTACCATGGTTTTGCAACCACAAGAGCAGTGAATATCCAAATTTGAGAATAACAATTTAATGTTTGTTCAGTTTACTGACAAAGTCGAAAGTTGTGATCTGTTTCTGTGTTAGTTTATCACTCAGAGGCTTTGATTCTCATAGATTGCCGAACAGAATTTCAAGAATAAATGGCAGAACATTGGACCTATATACAAAAAATATTAACTTTGTACAGTTTGATACAGACTGTAGCGGCAGGGATTTCAGTGCAGCTTAGCCCTAGTATGGTACTGTTGAAACAGTCCTTTGGATGCAGATGTGGGTGACTATCACGTCCTTCACAGATGAAGTGGGTCCTTTTAGGCTTACCTCATCAAAATTGTTAGATTCTCTAACAACTAACCGCTCAGCTGCCTTTGGTGTAAGTTCACCGTCCGAATCACTTTTGTAAAAATTGAAGTTTTCATTATCATTATCAGAGTTAAAAACATCTGACTGACACAATTTCAGAGCTTCAGTCACAGAAAGACACATTTTTCGGTCTATGCTTGTGTTCGGAACATTGGTATCCATGGCCAGTTGAAAAGGGAATCAGAAAAATCACTGTCTGAAAATGACGCTAGCAATGAATTGGATAAATTAAGCACCTGAATGTATGAACTGTAACTGGAAACTGTAAGGCTGTAAACAAAGTAGTCATGTTAGAGTAATCTTTCCTGAATATTTTAATGGTAGTTCCGAACATTATAAACGAATATGGAGCAGTATGAAAATCAATTTGTACGGGACACACAAACGACACAGACTGTGTGGTTTGGTCACATCAGAATTTCTCAGTCAACACAGACAGTGTTGTTCAAACCTGAAAGAGTTAATAGATTTCTAATTAATCATTCTGATTGGTTATTTGTCACAGCCCTGGCCCGGACAGTGATGTGACCTGTGGATTTTCCCTATTTGTGGTCGGCTAATCAGAAAGTACCAATTTTTCTCCTGTTTGTGAGTTTATGTTTTTTACATCCGGAAGTTCAGATATAGCTCTACCTATGTACCAGTCCTGACCTATGGGTGTGAGTCATGGGCAATGACAACAGCTCACAGAAGCCAGCTGCAGGCCTCGGAAATGAGATACCTGAGAAAGGTGGTCCAAGTGACACGAAGGGACAAAGTCCGCAATTAGACAATACGTCAAGATCTTGATACCCAGCCCTTACTAACCCGAGTAGATCAGTCACAGTTACGATGGTTTGGACATGTATGCAGAATGGGAGAAAATCGGCCACCATGGCAAGCATGGGAGGCTAAGAACCAGGGAACCAGACAACATCCGACAGTCCCTAACTGACAGAGGACTGGAATGGAACAAAGCCAGAAAGAAAACTGCTGATAGAGATGTCTGGCGATCTCTCTGGCAAACCTCTACACCCCAAGGTAGAAGAGGAGCGACTAAGTAAGTAAGTTCAGATATATATCTCTCAGTCCTTTACTTCATTTATCTAATGTGGTATAGTTAATGGACTATCTATGTGATAATAATCTGTGTGATTGCACCACAAAAATCTATTGCTTGTGATATTCTATTTACAGCTGGCCAGATTCCAACATCAAAACTCCAAGAGCATGCTGAAAGTGTGCGGAAGAACAATGTCAACTGGAAGTCGTACTTGCAGTAAGTAGTTGTTGGCTGCAGCTGTCCCCTTGTGGGTTCTGGGGTAAAAAAGAATAGATCCCCTGATACCTAGCAAGCCAAGCATGTCTTAAGAGTCAGCTGATTATGGATTTGTCCTTGGTAGTCAAAGTGCATTTGCATGAGAGGCAAGAAACCAACAGTCTGCAGTATACCGCAGTATACCAGATCTGTAAAACAGATGTGTGTTCAAAACTCAGGTTCTGTAACAAGACTAATGTCTACAAGTGGACGAGCAAAAACTGTCATCTGGAATTTGCAGCTGGTGAACATGAAGAGGATTGCAACTGAACAGAGTTTCATCATCGATGTCTGTTGGGTTACACAGTAGCTAGACGCTCACCTTTTTGACTCTGAGGTCTTGGGTTCAATCCACAGCAGGGCACATGTTTTATAGTTGACCTCGGCTCACAGGTCGACTCAGCCTAAAATGGATACTAGGAAATATTATGGGATGTAAAGATGAGTAGCATAATGTTGGCCTCATCACTTCTCTAAGTACCGATTGGTCTATACAAAACTGGGTCTAGCATCATATGCCTGATGCAGCACTGTGTGAACAAGGTGCTTGACGACTTCTAAATGAAGTGTCAGTTGTTGGCATGTACTTGAGTTATGAGTTAGATTATCTTCACAGCACTCCAGGCACATTCATAGGCGCTCAGATTCCCCTCAACATATTCATCAATGTCGTGTGGTTAATAGTATCAGTCCTGTGTTAGTTAACAAGACTTTGTGTGTGTCCGATGTGCTTCTCATGCTTGGCTGTGCCGACCTTAACTCCCAATTATCGTATTCTTAGCAGTGATGTGGACACATTGCTTCCAAAATTCTCAGAACGTTCTATCTCTCTAAGGGCAATGACAATGTCTGCGTGATCCATGGGCCGGCCATCTTCAATTAATGCAGCACTTGCCAGTCTATCAGCTCTTTCATTACCAACAATGCCTGCATACCCTTGGAGGTACTTTTATAACAGTTAGTTCTGCCTAATGCAGCACTGGTATGAAAAGGTCTTTAGCTAACTTTTTCATGAAGTGCTAGTTGTTTGCAGTTATCTCTTTGTCACTTCTTTCATGTGACAGTTTCTGCATTGTGCTGTGGAGTCTTAGGTTTTCAGTGACTCCTTTGATCCGTTTGTTCTAGGTCTGCCTCTTGATGTTTCAGTTTCATATTATAAGCTCCCACTGCTGGCATCCTTGGATTAAATTCTTGTTAGATGGCCGAATCATTTCAGTCTTTGTTTCAGTAGTTCTCGTCTTCTTAGCCTTCATGACTGTAAACTGGAGCAGAAATGTCTAATTGTTCCTCCACTTCTGAGCTTTGGTCCTGTTCCAGAACTTGAGTTTTGTGTGTACATTTGTTTTTCAGATCTGGCTTATTTGTATGCAGACTTTTGGTTCATCTCCTCTCAGGCAGATGCACTGTTACCTCCCTCACCTGGATCTACACCCATGGTAATGCTGGTGTGAAGGGTAATGAGCAAGCAGACCAACTGGCAGGAAGTGCACCAACGCATGTGGGATGAAGCATGGACAGAACGTATATCATCAACGCTGTATGGACTAGGCTAGTGGATAATGAGGAATCTCTGACACTAACACGAGTGCATGACGTGGAAGTAAAGACATTATAACCAACCTCTCATGGGAACAATTAGTAGAAGTACCTGGTGTGGCTGCTGCATCGGAGGACTGAGCACACTTGGGAATGCCCAGTGTACAGTAACATCAATTGGGATAACATAACTGTAACTTTGAAAATTACATCTCTTAATAATCATCTTATAGGACATAAGATTTAGGGAACAGTGGGTCTGCCCCCCCCCCCCCCCCACCCAGCAAAAAAAGAGGCCCTTAAATATCCACATGGGGAGTTCAGTAGGTATAATTTCATTTCTCACAAGATCTCTTCTGGTTTTGTTCAAGGCCATTCTCAAACATCTTATTTGGCAGATGGTTATTTTTTTCTCTCATATTTATTTTGTAAATGCCCAAGCCTGGCATTAATAACCAAAAGTAGGAATAAACATTGCACTTTTAATTTGTCTTTTTATCTCTGCTGGAATAGCCAGGTGTTTCAAGATTGATGTCAGTGGACACTTGGTGATGTTAACTTGGATTCTTGCTTTTATCTCTGCTGGAATAGCCAGGTGTTTCAGTGGACACTTGGTGATGTTAACTTGGATTCTTGCTTTTATCTCTGCTGGAATAGCCAGGTGTTTCAGTGGACACTTGGTGATGTTAACTTGGATTCTTGCTTTTATCTCTGCTGGAATAGCCAGGTGTTTCAAGATTGATGTCAGTGGACATATAGTGTTGTTAGCTTGGATTCTTGCTTGTATCTCTGGTCAACCAGTTGTCACTTCACGTCTAGTTTTTTTTCTCTTTGTATATTGATGAAATTATGCAGGGATTGTGTATTGTTTTGTTTTGACTTTGAAACTGATGGAGGGATTTGATGTTGTCATCTCTAGGGGACAGATGATCAGCCCGGAGGTGTACAACTTCATTTCTCAGTTTGATAGAGCAACACCTGAGGCTCGTGCTGCAATGCTGAAAGATAACCCTTCTCAGGTATAGTAGTAGTTTAACCCTTCACAGGTTCAGTATTTAACCCTTCACAGGTGCATTAGTATTTTAACTCTTCACATGTACAATATTTAACCTTTCTCAGAATAGTGGTTTAACACTTCACATCTTCACCGTACCATGTAAAGAATGAGTATACAGTTCCATTCGATATTCCGTTGGAATCAGTTTTGTTTTCATTGTTTGAATCAGGCTTATCAGCTATATGAGTAGGTTTGCTTTTATCTCCAAGTTTTGTAGAGTATTAGTTATTGAAATGAACAGTCAGTTGATGCATTTAGGAGTACGTGTCTGTTTCTGTTGCCAGTTTGCTGTTGTGTTCCGTATGCTGATGGAAGGAATCTCCCGGGACCAGACTTTGCAGTATGTGCTGACCATGCTGGATGATGTTCTGCAGGTAAAATGTTCTTCCTTGTCTCTGACAATTAAAAAAAAATAATTAAAATTTAGATAGATAAATTCTTAAGCAATTTATATAATCTAAATAAAATAGTTGTTTTTTTAAAAATGGATCAATGACCGATAAAAAAAAACCCCAATATTTTAAAGTGAACAACCTGATCAATCGATAGATCGTCAGTCAGTCAGAGCAGAAATACGGCTTTGTGTGTTATCAGAGCCCATAAGGGAGGCCGAAAGAAGTAACTCTGTGACCTGCAGTGCCTGATGTAGTCGACGACAGAGCAAGGTTAGCTCAAGACTGTCTCTCTTATCACATGGAAGACTGTCAAATTCAGCCTTTCACGAACAAGTCAGCTAAGAGCTTGGCATTGGTTGTTGGTCGGTCGATGCTCCGTTGGCAGAGAAAAGGAAGAAGAAAAGGAGGAGGTGTTGGTCATACAAGAAAGATAACTGGGAAATTAAAGACCAGAAAAGTTCACTGTGAACTCAAGGGTTTAAATATCACTGTGAACTCAAGGGTTTAAATATCACTGTGAACTCAAGGGTTTAAATATCACTGACAAGGGTTTTAAATATCACTGTGAAAAGGGTTTAAATATCACTGTGAACTCAAGGGTTTAAATATCACTGTGAACTCAAGGGTTTAAATATCACTGTAAACTCAAGGGTTTAAATATCACTGTGAACTCAAGGGTTTAAATATCACTGTGAACTCAAGGGTTTAAATATCACTGTGAACTCAAGGGTTTAAATATCACTGTGAACTCAAGGGTTTAAATATCACTGTGAACTCAAGGGTTTAAATATCACTGTGAACTCAAGGGTTTAAATATCACTGTGAACTCAAGGGTTAAATATCACTGTGAACTCAAGGGTTTAAATATCACTGTAAAACTCAAGGGTTTAAAATATCCTGTGAACTCTTTAAATATCACTATGAACTCAAGGGTTTAAAATATCACTGTGAACTCAAGGGTTTAAATATCACTGTGAACTCAAGGGTTTAAATATCATTGTGAACTCAAGGGTTTAAATATCACTGTGAACTCAAGGGTTTAAATATCTGATGTTGGTGTATTAATTCTGAGTTTGCCATGTCTTCTTCTTTTTTAGCCTTAACTGGCTGTACACTGTGGCATAACCTTCTGGTTGTTCATCCACTTCTGGATTCTGGTCTTGTTCCACAACTTTGAGTTTTGTGTTCACTTCCATTTTGCATATCTGGCTTATTTGTTTGCAGACTGTTGGTTCCTTGCCTCTTAGGCAGATGCACTTTGATTTCAAAGGAAACAACCTTAATTATTCGCCTTTTATGTTGTGCTTGTTGAGGGCTGTGGCCCCCCCCCCCCTGCGCCGCGCCGCGCAAAAACGTGTTTCTGGAATCTACACAGGGAAAATTGCTAGTAGTTTTTTTTTTTCCCTTTGCAAGTTAATATTTGTATATTGCTTTCTTTATGTGTTTTCATTTTTTGAAGTTACTGGTTAACCAGCATAGTTTCTGTCCTTTGTGTTTGAAATCTCCATGCGTCTGTTTGTTGCAGGAAGACAAGAGCAGGGTGGAGATCTTTAAGGCTGTGGCAAAGAAAAACAAGGAGTCAGTTTGGCAGCCATTCTTTCATCTTCTTGACCGCGAGGACAAATTCATTGTCTATCAGGTAATAACACACGTTGACAAATAGCCGTTTCCATGATTAGAACACACACATTGACAGATAGCCGCTTCCATGATCAGAACAGTTGAGCAAAATAACTGACAGCCATTTCTGTAAACGGGATTGTCCAATCAATGGCCACAATTTCTGTGACAAAACTGCTTAGCTAATGTCAGATAAGAGTATGTTCTTCATTGTCCCATAACACTGCCTGTTCTCTGGTTACTAGTTTCTGTCGACTGTCTGATCAGCTCCCTTAACCACTGACAGTCGGATGCAATGGACTTCATGGTGGTTGCGTGCTTAAGGCCGGTTCAGTCCGTGACGTTCTATAACCAGGTCTTTCTTGGTCTGCCTCTTTTCCTCTTCCCCTCTACTGAGCTCTGTAGTATTGTTTTTTGAGAGGCCGTTAGATCTCATCTCATGTCCATAGCATTGCATTTTCCATCTTTCCACTGAAGTTAGAAGTTCTTAGTGAAAAGTATGTTGAGTAATCATTTGGTGAACCTTCTCATTTGTGATGTTGTCTCTGGAAGATATGCCAATAATTTTTCTTTTAAAGACCTAATTTCCAGTGCTAGTATCTTCTTTTCGAGTTCAGCTGTTAAGGTCCGTTGAGTTTAAGGGTGTATTGCTTCCAATGAAAAGTCAGTTGCGTATCTTTATAGCTGGGCTATTCAACTGACGGCCTGTAGGCCACTTAAGGTCCACAGAGGCCTAGTAAGTGGCCCACAGATCACCTGCCAATTGTATTGTACCAATGATCTTTCTATGCCGGACCCAGATGGCCACTGGCCCACGATGATTCCCATTTTCCCAAATTCTGTTCCCTGAGTCAGTTTAGTTGAATGGCTCTGCTTAATAATACACCGCAGAACCAACCCAGGCGTTTAAATTTTTTTTTTTTTTAAATTTGTTATTTTAGCTGTTTGTTATTTTACAAGGCAACGTTATGTTCAGTAGTTTGCCATTGTCTTATAAATGGTCAGCTCTCAATACCGCTGTTGAAACCATCACAAGACGGGTCTGAATTTCCTAAAGTGGTCAATATTTAAGATAGTGTGCATTTAAGACAGTGAGCTTGTTAACCATTACAGTGACTTGGAGTTAAAAAACCTTGATAGTTTTCTGATTTTTTTCCCTTTGTAACAATTACAACCTGTAGGTTAGTGACTTGTAAAATGGTTACTAGGTTTGTAAAATGTGACCAGCCTTGTAGAATGTGACCAGTCTTGTAAAATGTGACCAGCCTTGTAAAATGTGACCAGCCTTGTAAAATGTGACCAGCCTTGTAAAATGTGACCAGCCTTGTAAAATGTGACCAGCCTTGTAAAATGTGACCAGCCTTGTAAAATGTGACCAGCCTTGTAAAATGTGACCAGCCTTGTAAAATGTGACCAGCCTTGTAAAATGTGACCAGCCTTGTAAAATGTGACCAGCCTTGTAAAATGTGACCAGCCTTGTAGAATGTGACCAGCCTTGCAAAATGTGAGAAGCCTTGTAAAATGTGACCAGCCTTGTAGAATGTGACCAGCCTTGTAAAATGTGAGAAGCCTTGTAGATTGTGACCAGCCTTGTAGAATGTAAGCAGCCTTGTAAAATGTGACCAGCCTTGTAAAATGTGACCAGCCTTGTAAAATTGTGACCAGCCTTGTAAAATGTGAGAAGCCTTGTAGAATGTAAGCAGCCTTGTAAAATGTGACCAGCCTTGTAAAATGTGACCAGCCTTGTAAAATTGAGACCAGCCTTGTAAAATGTGACCAACCTTGTAAAATTTATACCAGCCTTGTAAAATGTGACCAGTTTTGTAAAATAGGACCAGCTATATACAATGGATACCACACATTTGTCTGGCATCCTCTAGTTTGGGTGGGCTGTGATCTCAAGTAATTTAAAGGAAAAATTCCTGCCTCAGTGAAGATTCCAAGACATGACTGTGATTGTGAGATGCAAGCATCCTGATTACATGCATTTCTGGTGGCATCATTCTCAACAGAGGTAAATGAAAAACAGTCACAGTATAATGGTATGTAATGTTGCAGGCAAGTCGTATCATTGCCAAGATCGCCTGTTGGTCCAAGGAGCAGATGGAGCGCAAGTACCTGCAGAGCTACCTGGTGTGGCTGAAGGACCAGATCAAACTGCCTGTGAGTTGTCATCCTCTCCTCTTCCTGTCTTTACTGTCTATATTTACCTCTTTTTTGTTTAGGGCAGACCAGGAGTGTGCTTGAACCTGAGGAGTTAGGGCAGCATGGCTAGGGCAGGTGCCATGGCTATGCAGGTTAAGATTGTATTTCTGCCCCCAGCATAATCATTTTACTGAGGATTGAAACCTACCTCGCCTGAATGAGAGCTCAGTGTTCTGAACTGCTTGGCCAGCCACTTCTCTCCAGCGGGAATCAGCTCTGTTGTGAAGTGACATGAATTTATCATTTGAAGTATGAGCAACTAAAACAATAACTAATCAAATGCATCGTTTCTTCATTAACTGTTGTTGGTGCATAATAATGTTCAGCAGCGCAGAATGTTGACTGGACTTGCCCCATTTGGTGTTTTACTGCAACTGTATGAGGCAGAGTTGACCTTTTGCCCATGGGAGGATATCACAAGTAAAATAGAAGATACTGAAAACCCATACTTCGGGGGTGTGATGCAGCAGGGTGTGTCTGCCTGCTCTTGGTGCCACTTGAAACTCAGGGGAAGGCAAGACGAGTAGTTAACCACAGGACATTTGGTACTGTGAGTATGGAGACTTGGCTGGCTGTAAAGAAGAGAGACAGCTACTATGGGTCTGTCCTGAAGGCTGTGGTCTTCACCCAGCTGTGCAGAATTGAGTGACTTGATATAGCAGAGATATTAATGTGGAGCTTAGGTAAAAAGCTGAATAAAAAGCCAAGATATGAGAAAATGTAGCACTGGATATGATACAGTGTGAGAAATTCTTATAATAGTGTGACTAGAAAGTCTTTTCTTAGGAAGCCACAGGGTAAAAAATAATAATAATAGGGGAACATTTAAAAACACAGAGAAGAGAATTAGTTAAAGACAAACAAAATGGACATGACATTGAGAACTGTGGCAGATAAGAGAAGATGGGATGGTTTGTAGTTAATACATTGAAGGTCTATGCTACAGTGAGGGAGGGGAAGGACATAAAAAGAGAGGTCAGATAAATTATGTTTTTGTTCTGTCTGTTACTCCATGCTTACAGAAGTTAGACAAATTATGTTACAGTTCTACTCATTTAAAATACTCCCTGAATAATGAATTATGTGATCATTCCATATGTTGACTCCCTGTTCATATAAGTCAGATAAATTATGTAATTGTTCTACATGTTGATTCCATGCTTACAGAAATCAGATAAATTATATTATCATTCCACATGTTGACTTCATGCTCAGGTAAGTCAGATAAATTATGTTATCCTTCTGCCTATTTAAAATGATCACAGAATAATGAATAATGTGATCATTCCACATGTTGACTTCATGCTGACAGAATAACGAGTACTTGCTGTCAGCCGGGCGCTGCCTCCAGATGATGCTGAGGATCGACAACTACCGTGTGGTCTTCGTGGAGGTGGACGGGATTGCTGCGTAAGTAACAAGACACTTCTGATTTCAAAGCAACATTTCCCGAGATGTAAATGTGAACCAGGGACACTTTTCCACACCTTTAGGTATGTTGGGCATATAGGGCTAGATCTGTATTCTATGGACTAATCGACATTCAGTGGGAGATTTGATCAGCATCATGCTGGCCGCCTTTATTTCCCAGGACTTTACCTGTTACCCACTCAAGGCTGGGTCGAGCTGAGAGCCAAGGTCATTTTTGAAAAAGTCCATCTCCACTATGGCCAGAACCACTGTGCTTTGGATCCACAGGCGATTGACTAGCCGCTACACCACAGCGGCCCCCCCAAAGTTAAACAAAGACACATAAAACATCTTTTGTCCGCCTGTCTGTCCATCTGTGTTTGTTCCTCTAGGCTGCTACTTTGAAGGTTTGAGCACCGTTAGATTACAAAATCTCAATCTGGCAAATTCTAAATACCCGGTTCAACCTCTACAGAAATTATAATTGCAGCACCCATAATGGTCAACCCTGTCAAGTATATCCTTCAGTCCTGTATGAATTCTCCACAAATTATTGCCTGGCATTTTCCACTGTGTCCCGTCAGCAGAGATTGAACACTTTTGTTTACCCTTGTGAAACAGGCGGTCATGTTTTGAGTGCGGTAAATGTTTGTGGATTAGTTAAGATAAATGATTTGCTTCATCGAGACATTTTCTAATGTCACTGATCGGCTACTGTCCTCTTTAAGCCGGGAAGCCCCCCAGCAAATAAGGTGGTGATCTACCACAACCTGTGTGCTTCAATGGGTGGTCAGAGCTAGGACAAAATTTGAATCGCAGGTTGTAAAAACCAGTGCACCAGGCAGTAGTCACACTCGCCATTGTCATGGGCTGTGAATTCCATCCCTCCTCTTAGCACGGTATAACACTATCATCTGAAAAGACAGAATTACCGTGAAATATCCTCATTGTCATTGTTTTATTGTATCATTATATACCACATAGAGCTCACAGTCTGTTTTATTCAGTCCTGTGCAGTCCCCTTGCTATCTTGTCCATCATCTTTGACCTCTCTCGTCATCGTTAATTTAAGGTGTTGTTTTTAGATATCTTCACTTCCTCAGCCCCTTTATTTCTCATTGTAATGCCTGTTTGAAGGTTCTCTGTTCATCTTTATGTGTCAGAACTGATAGAAAGTACACAAGACGTAAGGACCTGACTAATAACCCTGCAAGGCATTGACTGTAAGAAGAAGAATAGATCACTGTGACTGTGTTAGCCCGGCTCGCTAGCGTAGTTGCTAAACCTGACTTCGTGGCGACCGGGCGACAAACCCCTTGTGGTCTGGGTTCATGCCCGGGGGTAGGCAAAAAAACCACATTTCTCCCAGATCTACGGTATTTATAATGGAATCAAGGCCGAAGAGTTGCGATATCCATAGTACCAAGCCAAAGGGTTAACAACTCATGGTTTATGGATATAAAAAAAAAAAAAAAAATTAAATGTTAGCAATAATTGTGTCATGTTTCATTCTGTGCTACTTCCAGAATCATCTCGGTTCTGTCGGGTAATCCAGGCTTCCAGGTGCAGTACCAGCTGATCTTCTGCCTGTGGTGTATCTCCCACAACCCCAGCCTGGCCGAGAAGATGAACAGGTAAGCTCCATTTATGTCTCCTTCTGTTTGGTTTGCCTTAAAAAAGACTTTATTTTTGTGTGTGCCTCCTCTATCTCTTTATTTTTTTGTTCTCGTTCTTTTCCTTCTCTTCTACCACTTCTTCTTCTTCCTTTTCTCGTCCTCCTTCTACCTTTCCTTTCTCAATGAAGCACAGTACTCAACTAACACATGTTAAGCACTTTGTATGTTCTTGACTGGTAAGATTTTGCATGTCAATTTACTACACAGAGCTTTGACAAACTTGACTAAAAACAAACAGAAGCAAACATAATAGAAGCTTATAAAAAAGCCTTGGAAATGTACACTGAGACTGGTATTGATCTTGTTAGTTGGGCGAACGCTGATGATGATGATGATGACGACTCTGTTTGCTGTAAGGATATCTCTGCTAGCATGGTCTGTATGAGACGGAAGACTCGGAGAAGGATTAAAACAGTTTCCCAGTCAAGTAAATAAACAACCCTTTTTATGACAGCAGCACATCAGGTTTATGTACGTAGACTCATATTTTTTAAATAGACTAATAGCCCTTAATCGAGCTGATATTGAAGAGGGTTTACTTAAAAACAAAGAAAATTGAATATTTTGTGATGAAACGATCATGGAAGTCTAGAGAGAAAACGCCTTTACTGGGTGCCAGATGATCTCCAGATGGGTGTATCAACGCCATCTTGCTCAGGATAGGAAGGTTTTTCCGGAGGTTGTTTATGGCAGCGAGGTTCGCTCTAGAACACTTGGTGGTGATCAGCCACTATCAGGACATTTCCTGTTTCCTTCGCTCTAGAACAGGGCACTATCGACTTCGCTGCCACATGTACAACACATTGAAGATTGGCCAATCAGCCATGGGTACCTGTGGTCTGGCACCTGAGACAACAGATCACATCCTCCAAGACTGTCCCAGATTCAACGCTTCAAGGCAAAACTTCTGGACAAAAGAGACACTTGTGGAAGTCAAACTTTACGGGCCGCTTAGTGAATTACAAAAGACTGTGAAATTCATACTAGAGACAGCATTGCAGATATAGATAATTTATTTGATGCAAACAAAAGAAGAAGAATTACCTGTTTCCCATTCAAGAGTGATTCATCTTGGAGGCCAGGGTTAATTTTGATCAAAATGTGCAATAGTGTAGACTCAAATCCAAGATGACCTTGAGCTCAACAGTCGGGCGTCTAGTCGGTATACTTTCCTGGCTTTCCAAATGCTGGCTGATAAACTAGAAACATTCGTTGACTGATAGCTGCATTGAATAGTGGGAATTGAATGGTGTGACAGAAATATGCTGGGGGTTTCACATGCAAACATTAGAAGTGTGATAGAAATTACAGTAACCATGCCACTGTCTGGTAACTTTGTCAGTATTGTTAAGGATGCCAAGAGTGTTAAGCACTTGATATATGGTTATTGTAATGTCTGTCACACTTATAAGGTTTTATTTAAAGCACCCTCTTATAGTGTCGAGCTAAGGAAGAGAGCTCAACATATTCCAGTAAAGTAAGAGGTGAGGACAAAATGCTTGTGCTGTATGGGACACATTGAGAGCACCTAAGAGGTCAAATGTCCTTGCTCTAGGACAGACAGAGAAATATTAACATTGTTAATGTTGTTATCTTTCTAGAGGTAATATCATCCCTGTTCTAGCTGACATCCTGAGTGACGCCGTCAAGGAGAAGGTCTCTAGGATCATTCTGTCCACGTTCAGGGTAGGACATTTCTTACTCATGTCATTTGTCTGATTGCATAGCGCTCATTTAAAATGTGTCATTTGTCTGATGATATTGTGATTGTTGGAATTTATAGGATTTCTGGTTTTTCAAATTTATCCCAACCACTCCCTGTGCTGTTTTGACTTGATGCTGAATCTGGGGATGTGAGGATGTGAGGATAGCTAATCACTGAACCTATTGATGTGAGAGTTTAGCTTGTTGCTGAACCTATTGATGTGAGGATGTAGCTTGTTGCTGAACCTATTGATGTGAGAATGTAGCTTGTTGCTGAACCTATTGATGTGAGAATGTAGCTTGTTGCTGAACCTATTGATGTGAGAATGTAGCTTGTTGCTGAACCTATTGATGTGAGGATGTAGCTTGTTGCTGAACCTATTGATGTGAGGATGTAGCTTGTCGCTGAACCTATTGATGTGAGAGTTTAGCTTGTCACTGAACCTATTGATGTGGGGATGTAGCTTATCACTGAACCTATTGATGTGAGAGTTTAGCTTGTCACTGAACCTATTGATGTGGGGATGTAGCTTATCCTGAATCTATTGATGTGGGAGTTTAGCTTGTCACTGAACCTATTGATGTGGGGATGTAGCTTATCCTGAACCTATTGATGTGGGAGTTTAGCTTGTCACTGAATCTGTTAATGTGAAGATGTAGCTGGTCACTGAATCTGTTGATGTGAGAATGTAGCTGGTCACTGAATCTGTTGATGTAAGGATGTAGCTGGTCGCTGAATCTGTTGATGGGAGGATGTAGCTAGTCGCTGAATCTGTTGATGGGAGGATGTAGCTAGTCGCTGAATCTGTTGATGGGAGGATGTAGCTAGTCGCTGAATCTGTTGATGTGAGGATATAGTTTGTTGCTGTATCTGTTTATGTGAGGGTGTAGCTTGTCGCTGTATCTGTTGATGACGTGGCTTGTTGTTGAATCTGTTGATGTGAGGATGTAGCTTGTTGCTAAATCTGTTGATGTGAGAGTTTAGTTTGTTGCTGAATCTGTTAATGTTAGAATGTAGCTTGTTGTTGAATCTGTTGATGTGAGGGTGTAGCTTGTTGCTGAATCTGATGATGACATGGCTTGTTGCTGTATCTGTTTATGTGAGGGTGTAGCTTGTTACTGTTTCTGTTGATGACGTGGCTTGTTGTTGAATCTGTTGATGTGAGGATGTAGCTTGTCACTGAATCTGTTGATGTGAGGGTGTAGCTTGTTGCTGAATCTGTTTTTTATGACATGGCTTGTTGCTGAATCTGTTGATGTGACGGTGTAGCTTGTCGCTTATCTGTTGATGACATGGCTTGTTGCTGAATCTGTTGATGACATGGCTTGTTGCTGAATCTGTTGATGACATGGCTTGTTGCTGAATCTGTTGATGTGACGGTGTAGCTTGTCGCTTATCTGTTGATGACATGGCTTGTTGCTAAATCTGTCCATTATCTGAACCCACAGAACTTGATTGAGAATGTCCAGGATGAGAGCATACGGCAAGAGCATGCACTGTCCATGGTGCAGTGTAAGGTCAGTCGAGGTCAAACCCCTGACCCATTAAATGAGTTTGTATGTTGTCAGTGTCGGAGTTGTCATGCACTGTTTGTATTTCTGTATGATTTGCTGTTGTTGTTAGGGCTGTGAATTGAAGTTGCTAATGAATATTATTGTTTAGTCCATCTGAACCATTTGTCTTGCCGTATTATCTGTTCTTTGTTGCTTGTGTTTTTTATTTTATTATTAGCTTTTCTCTTTTTATATTATTTGTTGTTGCTGTATTTTATTATAAATACAAAATAGATTGTTGCCATGCTAGAGCTACGGAGATGGTTGGTTTCCATTCATGTTAATGTTTCCTTATGGTGCTTCTTTGACAAGTAAATTGTTGCCCTGTTAAAGCTACAAGGATGTTTGATTTCCACTCATTGTTGATGCTTCCTTATGGTGCCTCTTTGACAAGTAAATTGTTGCCATGTTGGAGCTACGGAGATGTTTGGTTTCCACTCACTGTTGATGTTTCCTTATGGTGCCGCATTGGCAAGTAGGTCGTTGCTGTGTTAAAGCTACGGAGATGTTTGGTTTTCCACTTATTGTTGACATTTTCTTATGGTGCCGCTTTGGCAAGTAGGTCGTTGCTGTGTTAAAGCTACGGAGATGTTTGGTTTCCACTCATTGTTGACATTTTCTTATGGTGCCGCATTGGCAAGTAGGTCGTTGCTGTGTTGCCGGAGATGTTTGGTTTCCACTCATTGTTGACAGCTTATGGTGCCGCATTGGCAAGAGGTCGTTGCTGTGTTAAAGCTACGGAGATGTTTGGTTTCCACTCATTGTTGACATTTTCTTATGTGTGCCGCATTGGCAAGTAGGTCGTTGCTGTGTTAGCTACGGAGATGTTTGTTTCCACTCATTGTTGACATTTTCTTATGGTGCCGCTTTGGCAAGTAGGTCGTTGCTGTGTTAAAGCTACGGAGATGTTTGGTTTCCACTCATTGTTGACATTTTCTTATGGTGCCGCATTGGCAAGTAGGTCGTTGCTGTGTTAAAGCTACGGAGATGTTTGGTTTCCACTCATTGTTGACATTTTCTTATGGTGCCGCTTTGACAAGTAGATTGTTGCCCTGTTACCTATGAAGATGGTTGTTTTCCCTAAGCATTGATGCTTCCTTTATGGTACCTGTACAACCAACAGCTAGGTTTGGAGTTTGAAATGTTCCGTTGCATAGGATGAAATGTGCAGAACACTTTGTCATTGCCGGCTATCGTTGATGGTGAAATGGTAAAATTTGCCTCATATTCTGAAAATGTAGGGTGCATTTTCGAACTGTGTTGTTTGGCTTTTATGTGCAGTTTTTCAAGAGTTTCCTGGGAGTTGTTGCTGGAGCTCCAGAGTTTATGTTTTGTGTGATACTTTTGACAGGAAGCCAGAGATTCTAATGAAATATGTAAATAGTGGTGTGGGGGGCTGAGAATGGTAAAGTCAATTCTCTGACCTTAAAACATTGTCCTTGGCCAGGTTTTGAAACATCTGGAGTTGATGGAGGGCCGTCACTACCAGGACGAGGACATTGTTGCTGATTTAAAATACCTGAGCGACAAGCTCCAGGAGTCCGTCCGGGACCTGAGGTCAGTGTCTGAGATTGTGTCTTAGCAGTCTTCTCATGGATGTTTGTCTGTGTTTATGTCTAAATATGATGAACAGCGAATGTGAATTATTTATGTTTACTTTTTTTTCTCTGTGTGTGGCATAGACCATAGAAGTTTCATCTGAGGAGTGTCAGTGTTAAAATTTTGTTTAAGATTTCCTAGATATAAATAAAAAATTATAGCAGAAGGCATGGTACCAGGAAGGAGGGTCCGGGGTCGACCGACACGAAAATGGGCACAGGATATAAGTCACTCCTTGAGTATGAAAGTACATGAGGCGGGAGAACTGGCGAGAGACCGAGTTTCTTTTAGGCAGACTGGATAAGAGCTACGATCTGCAAAGGACCTGCTACATGCTGATGATGAGATATAAATATTTTTACATGATGGAGAAATAGATGTGGTTTTTAAGATCAGTATTGAGAAAGTTGTGTACCAAGAATAAAACAAATGCTTAGGTATTGATGCTGCTAGAGGAAGAAGATCAGTTACCAAAACTGTGTGAAAAAATACTTAAAAAGGTATACCAGCAATAGAAGTAGAGAAGAGAGATTAGCCTTATGTGGCGGAGTACTTAGCAATGGAAAACAGAGAGATGTTTACAAAGCTTAAATAGTTTGTTATCAAAACTAAAAATTTAATACTTCATCATATTCATTTTCTTCTTCGTATTCACCGGCTGTAAACTGCAGAAAATTCTGGTTCTTCAGCCACCTCTGGTCTTTAGTATTGTTCCAGAACCTGAGTGTTGCGTGCACTTCCATTTTACACATCTGACTTATTTGTGTGCAGACTGGTGGTCCCTTGTCACACTCAAACAGATGCATTCTGACTTTAAAGGGAGCTCTAAATAAGTCGATTCTTACGACGTGTTTATTAGGGAGGCAGTGGGTCTATTCTTGTTTTTCCCACTGCATAGCTCCTGAACTCACTCACATTGGGAGTCAGTTTCATCAAAACATGAGCTCATAGAGAGAACTCGAGGGTCATTATCACCCATGCCTGCTGCAGACCAGCCACAAAAGAAGAAGAATCAAATTTATTTAAAAAACTGTTGGTGTAAAGAAAGTAAAAAAAAATGGCAATTAACTGGATTCAGTGTTGCCCTTTCTCTCACGATTGTTGTCATTGTTAGTTTTTGTCTTGATAGTAATCTCATGATTGTGTGAATAGTTATTTCAATGACTGGGTTGAAAGTTATGTCGTGATTGTGTTAATTGTCAGCCCGTTTTCATTTTAATCTCTAATAATGTCTGTTTGGGGTCATTATCACTTTTGTATTGATCATAATCTCATGATTGTGTTCATTGTCAGCTTGTGTTTATTGTAGTTTCATGATTGTACATGGTTTGATACAGCTCTCTGGATGAGTACATCACAGAGGTCAAGTCTGGGCGTCTTGAGTGGAGCCCCGTCCATAGGTCAGACCGGTTCTGGCACGAGAATGCTGCCCACTTGAACGACAACAACTATGAACTTCTGAAGTAAGTTGTGGTCGTCAGGGTAGACATTTTGTTTTACATGGAGATATTTCTTTATCTTTTTTCTGTTCTATTTCATTCTTCTCCCTTTGTGGATTCCATTGCCTCATTCTGGGAGGAACAAGAATGGATCCACTGCCTGATTCTAGGAGGAACAAGAATTGATCCACTGCCTCATTCTAGGAGGAACAAGAATGGATCCACTGCCACATTCTGGGAGGAACAAGAATGGATCCACTGCCTCATTCTGGGAGGAACAAGAATGGATCCACTACCTCATTCTGAGTGGAACAAGAATGGATCCATTGCCTCATTTTGGCAGGAACGAGAATGGATCCACTGCCTCATTCTGAGAGGAACAAGAATGGATCCACTGCCTCATTCTGAGAGGAACAAGAATGGATCCACTGCCTCATTCTGAGAGGAACAAGAATTTATCCACTGCCTCATTCTGAGAGGAACAAGAATGGATCCACTGCCTCACTAACAAAGAATGATGAAAAAGGTGACTAATTAAAGGAGGACTTTCCACTGGAGTTACAGCTGATGAAGGCAAAGAACAAGAATGTCTAGGAAACATTTGCCTTTGTTACACTTTCTCTGTCTCTTGCTCTTTCATTATCATGCACATGCACACATGAGTCAGGTAAATTCTTGCAATATGACCACACTCTGTCTCTTTCTCTCTCATTGTCATGCACACGCACACCTGCCCACATGTCGGGTATATTCTTGAAATATGACCAAAGTTTCTCTGTCTCTCTCATTGTCATGCACACGCACACATAAACATGATCAGGTAAATCCTTGAAATATGAACACACTTTCACTGTCTCTCTCATTGTCATGCACATGCACACCTGCACACATGAGTCAGATAAATCCTTGAAATATGACCACAATTTCACTATCTATGTATCTCTCATTGTCATGCACATGCACACATGAGTCAGGTAAATCCTTGAAATATGACCACAATTTCACTATCTATGTATCTCTCATTGTCATGCACATGCACACATGAGTCAGGTAAATCCTTGAAATATGACCACAATTTCACTATCTATGTCTCTCTCATTGTCATGCACACGCACACCTGCACACATTAGTCAGGTAAATCCTTGAAATATGACCACAGTTTCTCTGTTTCTCTCATTGTCATGCACACGCACACCTGCACACATGAGTCAGGTAAATCCTTGAAATATGACCACAGTTTCTCTGTCTCTCTCATTGTCATGCACACGCACACATGAGTCAGGTAAATCCTTGCAATATGACCACACTTTCTCTGTCTCTCTCATTGTTATGCACACGCACACATGAGTCAGGTAAATCCTTGAAATATGACCACACTTTCTCTGTCTCTCTCATTGTCATGCACACGCACACATGAGTGGAGTCAGGTAAATCCTTGAAATATGACCACAATTTCTCTGTCTCTCTCATTGTCATGCACACCTGCACACATGAGTCAGGTAAATCCTTGAAATATGACCACACTGTCTCTGAAACTCCTGCAGGATCCTGATCAAGTTGCTGGACACCAGCAAGGACCCTCTTGTTTTGTCCGTTGCCGCTCACGACATTGGTGAATATGTACGCTACTATCCTCGAGGGAAAACGTAAGTTGATGAATCACCACATCCTTGTAGATTTCTTCTTGTATATGAGCAGGTTATGGGGAGGAGTGTGTACAGCAGGGCTATTCAGCTGGTGGCCCATAGGTCGAATCTGACCCACAGAGACCTAGCCCGCGGATCATCACCACTTGTATTGTATTAATCAGCTTTCTATGCTTGGGCTGAGGTTGCTGGCCCATGACGATCACCATTTTCACAGTTTTGGCCGCTGAGTAAATTTAGTTGTAATACCCTGATGTAAAAGAATATGTGTGCAGGTGTGTCTGGAGGGAGGTGGGGAAGATATATATATAGAGGTAAGGCAAGCACAGGACGATGACAGAACAGCTGGAGTCAAGTAGAAGTAGAAAAGAATGACTTCAGTCAATGATAGAAATTCATCATCACCATCCTCATCCTATGGTGATGTTATATGTCACACAGGGCTTACAGTTTAATCCTCCACTCCATTTTATCCTTTTCAATCCTTTTAGTTTCATGGATGGATTTCAGTCCAAGACCCTTGACCTCTCTTAGCAGCATTCGTCTGAGAGTGTCTCTTGAACATCCTTATTTCGTCAGGCCATTTGTTCGCATTTCATTGCCTGGTGAAAATAGTGCCAGCTTTGTATTTGGCAGCAGTTGTGAAAGAATGATCTTCTTCTTCTTCTTCGCGTTCACCGGCTGTTAACTCCGGCGGAAAGTTCTGGTTGTTCGTCCACTTCTGGACTGCAGTCCTGTTCCAGAACCTGAGTGTTGCGTGTGCATCCGTTTAACAGATCTGACTAATTTGTGTGCAGACTCTTGGTAGATGCACTCTGTCTTCGAAGGAACGAAAGAATGATGATAATGGTGTTAATGGGGATTTGGGAAGGAAAAAGTGCAGCAGCTGCAGAAGGAGGAGACAAAAAGAAAATAGATTTATCACTGTTTCCTGCCCCACATATATGAGTCAGATAAAATTAAATCACTGCCTCACTGTCTCAATCCAAGATTTTATTGGAAATGACTTTCTCTCTTTCATCTATCTTGAGTTTGCTTTTTCCCTGTTTCTGTTTGTCATTCTTTGTGTATTTTTTCTGGGAGCAAGTGATCAGTGTGTTAGCCTAAATGGATGATTAGATTTTGGAGAGAATGGTGCAGTGGCAGAGCCCTGCTCTACACCAGGTCTTTTTAACTAAGTTTACTCAGAGGCCAACATTTTGAAAATGGGGATCGTCACGGGCCAGACGCCGGAGCCCTAACATAGAAAAAAATACAAAACAACTGGCAATGATCCGTGACAATACAACTGGCAATGATCCGTGACAATACAACTGGCAATGATCCGTGACAATACAACTGGCAATGATCCGTGACAATACAACTGGCAATGATCCGTGACAATACAACTGGCAATGATCCGTGACAATACAACTGGCAATGATCCGTGACAATACAACTGGCAATGATCCGTGACAATACAACTGGCAATGATCCGTGACAATACAACTGGCAATGATCCGTGACAATACAACTGGCAATGATCCATGACAATACAACTGGCAATGATCCGTGACAATACAACTGGCAATGATCCGTGACAATACAACTGGCAATGATCCGTGGGCCACATTTGGCCCACAGGCCGCTAGTTGAATAGCCCTGCTTTACACTCAGAAGAAAGGTGACTGGTATCATTGGCACTGGAACTCTTCACTGGCTGCTGAAGATAAGGACAGAACATTTATGGGAATGTTCCAAGTGCTGTGATTAACTCAACTGTGTATTTTTCTGTTTCCTTCCTTTATCTGTCTTTCTGAGCCTTTCTGTCTACCTATTTGTCCTTGTGTCTTCTTTCCATCACTTGTCTCATCCCGGGTTTACTATCTTCCTGTGTGGCATCCTCTGATCTGAGTCTCCACCATCTCATGCCCTTAGAACTACTGTACCCAGTTTGGTCATCTCATTAATTGTACAGTCCTCTCTCATCCCTTCGGTGTCCCACAACTATCTTCACCACCTCATGACCTTAGAACTGTAGCCAGTTTTGTCATGTCATGAAATATACAAGCCCTCTCTCATCCCTTCGGTCTCCCACTACTGTCTCCACCACCTCATGCTCCCAGAACTAATGTAGCCAGTTTTGTCATGTCATGAATTATACAAGCCCTCTCTCATCCCTTTGGTCTCCCACTACTGTCTCCACCACCTCATGCTCCCAGAACTAATGTAGCCAGTTTTGTCATGTCATGAATTATACAAGCCCTCTCTCATCCCTTCGGTCTCCCACAACTGTCTCCACCACCTCATGCTCCCAGAACTAATGTAGCCAGTTTTGTCATGTCATGGCATTGTACCTGCCAACTCACACCCTGTCTCTGTCGCCCCACCCGCCACCCATCCCCTGCAGTATCGTGGAGCAGCTGGGAGGAAAACAACTGGTCATGCAGTACATGATGCACGCTGACCCTAATGTCAAGTACGAGGCTCTCATTGCTGTCCAGAAGCTGATGGTCCACAACTGGTGAGATTCTGTGTCTGGTTGTTGTTGTTGTTGGTCAGTTTGGTGTCTGTGTGGCCAAATGGTTAAACTATTTCAATTGTTGTTGTTGCTCAGTTGTTGGTGTCTGTAGTGGTTACACTGTTTGCCTTATGCTCTGAAAGCCTGGTATTCGTTTCAAGGACTGCATCATTTGGTTCTTGAGTATACAGTATTTTGAGATTCCTGAGGATCATCACTGGAGTTGCAGAGTTCCTGCTTTGTGTGCCGCTATCTACAGGTGGCTAGCTGTTCTGAGGAGGAAGACTGAGCCATATGGGATAAAACCTAGTGCAATGGATTAGATCCTCAGGGCTAAATGTTGTTGAGTGTAAAGAGCGGGAACCTGCTTGAGCGTTAACACTAGAACTGATAGGTCTATAACAGTTAGGGAAGAGGGGAAGGACACAAAGATAATTAGAGTAAACCAGGCAAATAGTAATCTAAACTCCCCATATGGATTCTGGGGTAAAAATAAAATAAAGAACCCACTGCCTCCCTATCAAACACGTTGTAAAAATAGATTTATTAGGAATGTTTCCTTTGAAGTCAGAATGCACGTGCATGTGCGATGAGGAACTGTCTGCATACAAATAAGTCAGACCTATAAAATGCATCTGCATGCAAAACTAAAGTTCTGGAACAAATCCAAAGTCCAGAACTGGGGGAACAACCAGAACTTACTGCCAGAGTTTACAGCCGGTGAATGCTAAGGAAAAGAAGTAATCCACACTTTCTTGGGGATCTCGCACTCCAAGATGTCGACTGTTACAGCGGGTAACTCGCTAGTCTTGGTAAAAATTGGGGATCTGATTAAAATATACATACAAGAGTCAGAGTTTTCAAAGCACTCGGAAATCTGTGGAAGTCAGGGGACATTAAAACTGGCACTAAACTTAAATTATTTAAGGCAGAAGAAGAAGAAAAACAAGAAGAAAGGAAGGAGGAGAAGAGGAGGAGGAGGAGGAGGAGAAGAAGAAGAAGAAAAGGAGGAGAAGATTATATGCGTGAAATGCCTCAGATGGTGAAATGGGTTCTTTATTTTGCTGACTATTCCTGACTGCTGCATGTATTTGATAAATGTCTGTTGATTGTTTCAGGGAGTACATAGGCAAGACCATTGACCTCAAACAGCCAGGATTTACCAGCGCCCAGCAGAAGAGGAGCTAAGCTCAGCGCTTGTGGTAGTGAGAGGCTGCAAGAATGTTCCTGAAACAAATTGGGCTATAACTAACTTTGTAATACCTGGGGCAGACTTCGCTAGAGACTTTGCCAATAGAAGCTTCTTATTGTTGAGTCTGAGGGCTGGAATTAATGTTGTGTGTTAAGCCAGACTTTGACAAGTAAATTCGTGCGTGTAAATGTATTTAACATTATATTGTATAGGAAATTGTCTGTATTAGCATTTATAAAGTAACTGTTTGTGACATGTTTTCTGTTGTCCAAATTTAGATGTATACTGTTTGTAGGACTAGTTTAGAATTATGTCAGCCTAGAGGGGGTACAGGGGATCTGTCAGCCCAGCTGACATTACAGTGTCCCAGTTTATGTGAAGTCCTATACTTCAGCCACCGCTAGCTCTTGGCATACTTTCACTATTTCAAATGTTGGCGTGGCTTTAAATAAAGGGCATTGTTTGTTGTTGTTTCTGTGTTAGCGCTAAGCCCTTCTTTTCTATTTCCCCCGCCTCGTCTTCTTCTATTACTCTTCTGTTCTTCCTCCTGCTTCTTCTGACCCTTTAGAGCAGGGCTATTCAACTGATGGTCCATGGAACAAAGCCTAACAAGTGTCCTGGGGATCATTGATAATTTTATTGTGTTAATGATCTTTCTGTGCTGGGCTTTGGACCTTTGGGCTGTAACGATCGTCAATTCAAAACTTCGCCCTCTGAATAAACTTAGTTCAATAGAACTTTTAGAACAACCCATTGATGCTCCATCTGCGTCAACAAATCTCTTTTTGTGTAGATGTTCATCAACACACATTGGTAATCCACACTTAGATTGTGACTCACGCATTCTTTAATAGCTTGCTTTGCTGTTCTTTTATTTAAGGCACCCAAGCATTATTTTATTTTTGTCCCTGCATCTGTCCTGTCTTCAACTGTCCCCTCTCTGTCTTTATATTTTGTCTGCCTCTTTTTCTGTTCTCTCCCACCCACCCCCCCAATTCTGAAACTGTTCTGTGATAATAGAACCAGAATTCTTTTGTTTTATACATTCCATGTGTGACTGGACCAATCATTTCTTGTATATTTATGACATAGTGAAAAGTTCAGCTCACTTCACAAACACAACCAACATTACAGACATTAAGGGGATGGGGGGGGGGGGGGGGGGGTAGTAACATAGATTGCTGTCATTGTCATGTACGAGACATTAACATTTATATAACCACTGTTTCCTGTGCTGATTCATGTGTTTGTGTGTCTTCATGCTCAAATGATAAATGTTTGCTGAGAAACATGAGGTAGTGAATAAGTTCTTACATTTGTTGTCAGTCCTGGAGGTGGGTGGGGGAAGGGGGGGGGGGGGGGGGGGAGGGTTGCCTCCTGATCATCAGACTATAGGTTTTGCAGATCCAGGTAGATTGTGGATGTCACAGTAATGCTAGACTGTGTGTGTGTGTGATATGCAAAATAATGTTAGACATGTGTGTGTGTGTGTGTGTTTGACAGAGAGAGAGGATACTGCTGATGCAGACTAAATACTGGACTAGTGTGTATCTGTGGCGGAATACGATTGACTAATTGAATCAGGTAGGAAAGAGTTAGAGAGAACTAAACATTTTTTAGCGAATCAAGAGGTGAGGAAAAGATGCTGGTGCTGGATTGGACATATGTTCAGGAAAACCTCTTATTTTACAGCCGTAGTGCGTTTCAAAAGTCTTGTCTTAAAACTTTAAGAAATATCTAACCAAAAAAAAAAAAACTCCTGTACAGAGCAACAAAAATTTGTGCCCATTGTCTTAGATTTCCCGTATGATTTTGTAATTTACAGTTACACAGGTGCTGCTGTTTTCTTAAAGCAGGGACTGTCTTTGATCTTTGTCAAACTACTGATTTTTGTGAAGCCTTAAAAAAATATACCATAACTGACAGACTTTTTTTTTTCTTGGAGCCACAAGGATGGAACGCATTTTGGTCAGTTCACATGTGCAGCAATGAGCAGGAATTATTTTGATAGCCTGCTCCGCAAACAGTGACCAAAAAAATGTGTTCATATAGTACACAGGAGGCAAATGTTGGAAAGTGTGTGTGTTTGATGGTACCAAAAAAACAAAAAAAACACACACGACTAGTTTGTGTCTATTTGATGATATAGAATAAGATTAGACTAGTGCAGGTGTGCGTACCAGCATGTAGTACAAGAATAAAACTAGACACTCTACTAGAGGATGGACTGAATGAAGGAGTCTAGACGATTGTCATAACAAACTATTATGTGCACATATTCTGAATGAACGTGTTCACGCTGTATCTCCCAAAACAGAACTGTAGTGTTTGTATAACCCAGATGTCTCCTACCATACATACGTTATCTTTTAATTTATTTATACAGGACTCTGTATGTTGTGTACATGTTTATACTGGTGATAAATAGTTCAGTACAAGTGTACACGTGTATTTATATTATTTATGTTTTGTTGTGAGTGAAGTTCAAGCCACGTCTTGTTGCTGATAATGGTCTGTCAGCTGTTGTCTGTTGTTTTACCGGTATAAATTGTTTTCATATAATTGCTGATGTGGTGCCAGTTTAGATCAGTGTTTCCCAGTTAGCGGTTCGCTTGCCCCTGTGGGTTTTCAGGCCCCCAGTTTGGGGAAAAATAATAGATCCAGGGGCCAACAATTTGAAGTTGGGGATCGCTACGGGGCAGAGGCCTGAGCCCCAGCATACAAAGATCGTTAACACAATACAACTGGCAACGATCCGCGGGCCACTTGCTAGGCCTCTGCGGACTGCTAGTTAAATACCCCTGGCCTACGCTTGTCAGCATGACACATGATGATGAACTAAAACCTATCTCCCAACACCAGATAACTAGCATTCTCCTGCGACAAGTAGAAGTCCTAATTACCCAAGCCAGAACAAGTCAAGAAAGCAAACACTTCACAAACACAGTATTGATAAATGAGCTGAGAACAAAATGTCACTCGAGTACTCACTTGTGGAACCAGCATGTCACCATGACCGGGCCAGTCAAGTTTACAAAAATTACAGGTGTGTCGGTCGATATGTAGGGGGGTGGGGAAGGGTGTGACTGGTAGGAGACAATAAACAGGAGGGTCAGTGAAACAGATCACTGTGTGGGTTCCGGGTACCCATTGTGGGGAGAATGGACCCACTGCCTCCCCAACAAGCATGTCGTAGGAGTTGACTAATTGGGAGCTTTCTTCGAACTTGGAGTATATCGGCCTGAGAGGCAAGGAACCAACAGTCTGCATGCAAATTAGTTAGACCTGTTAAACATATGTGCACGCAACACTCAGTTTCTGGAACAGGACTACAGTCCAGAAGTGGACCAAAACTTTCCGCTGGAGTTTACAGCCGGTAAACGTGAAGAAGAAGAAGAAGAAGAAGTGAAACAGAACCAATGTCAGTGAAGGGGGAGATCAATTAAAGGGAGATGTGGGAACGAATATGAACTGAGAGAGGTTATGAACAGAGAAAAAATGAAGAGAAGGATATAAAGACCAGCAACAGTTGGGAAAGATAAAAGGAGAAGGTAAACGAAAGTATATAACGGAAGCAGTTAGAAGAAATATAATACAGGGTTAAAGGAAGGATGTAAAGAGAGAGATGAAGAGAACGATATAAAGATATTAAGAAAACGGTATAAGAGAATTATGAAGGGAAAGATATTACATGAAAGAGGACAGACGTAGAGAGGAAATAGGAAATATAAAGAGAAAGATGAAGGGACAGAGGTACAACTCACGTTTTCGGGCCGAGCGACACCATGATTGATGCGTCTCAACCTTTCACATGTACGACTTTCCCTTACAGGGGTGTCAGGTTCCATAGTCTCCCACGCTAACACCGGCGATATCCCGCGTTCACACTACACGATGTTACCGCCATTTTTAACGACCTCAAAACATCTACAACTGGCCCTAACCCCAACCCCCTAGGGAACAGCTTCAGCCTAGGTCCCACGAGAGAGTGCATTCTACGCCCCGCGGTTGTAAGACTTCTTAGCATTTTGCGGTGGCTCCCAAAACGCTGTACTCCAGAAAAGCAACGGTACCCTCCTCGTCCTCCTCCAATGAAAAACAAAAGAACCTGAATCCCCCATGACACAGATTCGAGCGTGTGAAAAGCCAGAAAGGATGAATAAACAGCCAATCGCGACGTGTTAGCGCCAAAGTTAGTGAGTTGTTCCGGGACAAATATACAGAAAAACGATATTAAGGGAAAGTATAAAGAAAAAGAACTGTAGGGAACTTTGTGCAGAGAAAAGATGCAGGAAAAGATATAAAGAGAAATGAATCTAGGGAAAGATATAAAGAGAAATGGATGTAGGGAAAGGTACAAAGAGAAATGGATGTAGGGAAATATTTAAAGATAGATGGATACAAAAGATATAAAGATAAATGGATATAGTTAAATATATAAAGATAAATGGATATAGGGAAAGAAATAACGGGAAACTGATGTAGGAAAAGATATACATATAAATGATGTAGGTAAATATATAAAGGGAAATGGGAGAGGGAGGTATAAAGAGAACTGTATAAGTTAAGAGATATCAAGAGAAGTCGATATTGCTGTATTAAAACATATATGAAGAAAAGTTATAAAGTGAAAGTTGATTAAAAATATTTTTAAATACTGAGCTGCAGTGAAAGATTTAAAGATAAAAATATACCATGACACAGCTTGATTTGTAGAAATCACTCACTTGTACCTTCTCCATCAGACCAAAAATAGGCGATATGAAGACACAACGCGGTTAACCATCACATTGATATTTGGACACAAAATTACCAGTTGTTGCTGGTTGTTTCTTTTCTCATTTGACACTTTTTCTTTGTTCAAGAGGGCTTTTTAATATATCTTTTCAGAAAGGACCCCCCCCCACCCCGATTTTAACATATATTTTGTTGATGGTTGCTGAAGCCCCAAATTCTGACGAACCTGGACTTCTTGTCACGTTGTTCCTGTCTGCGA